GATTTAAATAATTTATTTATTTACTATTTTTTTTTTTAATACACATAGCAGGAAACTTTTTTGTCTTAATTATGTGTATTCGGCGTCGGGGAAAAAAAAGTTTCAGTATCCAAAATGAAAAAGGTTTTTTTTTAAGACCTTCTGTACCTTTAAATTTTAGAAATCGAAACATGCATAAAATCTTTTTTTTTTTTACAGAAAAATATCAATTATCTTTTTAATTATTGAACTCCAAAGATTTAATTCTCATGACAATTAAGCGTACTGCAATTTAACTTGTGCTTCCGTCAAAGAATATTGAATACTGTAAATTCTTTTTTCAAGTTCCGCAGAAAGAAAAAAAAAAAATGAAACAATTGCGGTTTGTTTTGACTTTCTCGTATTGATTTTTTTTTTCTATCTGTAGAAAGAATAAATTTTTACTCTTTAAAATTGATGAATATACTTAAAATAAAATGTGAAATAGATAATTATTTAGGTTTTTCTTTTAATTGAATAATGAATCAATTTTTACTCTTTAAAATTGATGAATATACTTCATATAAAATGTAAAATAGATAATTATTTAGGTTTTTCTTTTAATTGAATAATAATTTTTATTAATACTTTAAAATTAATTAATACTTTAAAATTAATTAATACTCAATTTTAAAATAATTTTTATTAATATTTGAAAATTAATTCATACTCAATACTAAGCAGTTACCAAAAAACAAATAATAATAATAATAATAAATAAATAAATAACTTTTAGAAATTTGATGTTGTTATTTCCTGATTCCTGAAATTTGACATGTCTTCTTATGAAATTAGGTGCGAGTGTATTTGTTTGGAATTATTATTACTTTTTAATGCATTTATTTATTTTTTTAAAATTTGAAAAGAAATTTTGTTCCAAATTCTAAGAAACAAGTAATTTCTTTGCCTATTTTTTATACATCCATTACAAAGAGATATATTCTAATTCATGGTTAAAAAAATACTTTAGTAATTGATTATTAGTTGTCTTGATTGATTATGATTGATTGGCTTTAGTAATTGATTACTGAAACATTTGAATTTTAAGAAGTTAATCAATTCATTCAACATTAAAATAATAAATGAAATTAAAAAAATCCATAAGTAAATCGGCAATTGTTGAATCAGATAGTAATTTTAATTTATTTACAAATTAAAACGAATATATAAATATTTCAACTTCAACTAATTGCTTTATATTTTAGTTTCTCACTAACGCTAACTTCACCTCTTTTCGTATTCCTTTTTTTTATTTTTTTTAATGTATCAGAAAAAAAAAGTTTTATATTTTTATGAGAGGCCGGGTTTTGTTTCAAGCCTCACTACAGCGCCATTGGAGTCTGAAACCTAGAAAAAATAAGCCTTGAAATTAGATAATACAATATTTTTTTCCTATCTTTATCTTTTAAGATTTGACACAAATCAATAAGCTAGGAAAATACTAAGTGCTCTTACTTAATCTATATAAATATAGAATAGAGAAAAATTATCTTTCTATCTTTTTATCACATTAAAAATAATAATTTCAGATAAATTACTTTTTTAAATTTATTTATTTATTTATTTTATTGTTCTTCTACGAGCAAAGTCCTTGACGATTTTTTTTTATATGCCATCGCGTTCCGATTAGAAGTTAAAAAGTATGGAAAAAAAATCTTAGACAGATAAAAATAAAAGAAATAAAACAAAATAAAAAGAGAAAGTGAGATATTCTATATGAGGCCTTTTAAAGGAGGTACAAAATGATAAAGGTTTTAAGAAACAATTCTTCTATTTCATCTTAAGATCCCTTTTATTTATTTGTTTTTTACTTTTTATTTTATTCACTTTTGATTTTTTTTTTTTTAAAAAAAGATACTAAAATAAATATTTCAAAGTCAAAACATCTATAAAATTCACTATATCTTCCGAATTTAAAAGCTTTTCTAATTCGTTATCTAATTTATTAGTTCAAATCACATCCAAATAATAATTTTTTTTCTAATTATAATCTTACTTAATTATTCAAAAGAATTGGTATAAAATCATCATAACTTTCAGATTTAATAATTCCCAGTATCTAATAATTCCTAACACATCTTATTACATCATAAAAACCTCGTTTTTTTCTAATTTAAATTTATTCATTCTAAAAACATCATATTAGTCAAAGTTTCTAATTAGTTTCCTAATTATAATCTAATTTTATTATTCTAAACACCATCTTATAACATTGTCAGAGTATTACATTTTTCCTACCTTATAAGCTAATAATCATTCTGAACATAAAACATCATCAGAGTTTCTAATTTTTTTTTTCTAATTATAATCTAATCTAATTATTCTAAACACAACTTATAACATCGTCAGTTTTTAATTTTTTTTCGAATTACAACATAGCCTAATTATTTTAGAAGCATCTTATAACATCTTCAGTGTTTCTTTCTTTTTGTGTTTTTCAGCTGTTTAATCTAATCATTATAAACGCATTTTAAGATCGTCAGAGTTAAAAATTTTTTTTCTATTTTAATATAATCTAATCATTCTAAACACATCTTATAACATCGTTACCAATTTCCCAATTTTTTAAAAATTCTAATCTAATCTAATCATTTTAAGCTCATAACATTGTCAGAGTTATCAATTTATTAAAAATTATAATCTAGTCTAATGATTCTTAACACATCTTATAAACATCGTCTGAGTATTCAATTTTTTCTACCTATAATCTAAATATCATTCTAAACACAACACATCGTCAGAGTTTCCTATTTTTTTACGAAATTACAATATAATATAATTATTTTAAAAGCGTTTCAAAGCATCATCAGAGTTTCCTGTTTTGTTTTTAATTCTAATATAATCTAATCATTTTAAATACAACTTGTACTATCGTCAGAGTTTTCAATTTTTTTTTTAATCTAACCATTCTAAACACATAACATTGTCAGAGTTACGAAATTATTAAAAATTATTATCTAATCTAATAATTAGAGACTCATCTTATATTACTCGAGCTTCTGATCCCTCCCCCCTTCTTATTTCTAATCTAATTTTAGTGTTCTAAACACATCCTTATGACATTTTTAGGCCTCCCTATTTTTTTTATTATTTTTTTTAATGATTCTAAAGTAATTCTAATCATTCTAAACAGCTATTAACAAAATGTTCTGATTTTCAAAATCCGATTGGATAAAAAATTTATGACGTTTTTATTCCTTTTTATTCTATACCGTCATCAAAAAATAAAAAATAAATAATGAATAAGAAAGGTGAATACACGCATATTGTCAGTAACTGTACAGGCCCCCTCCAAATGCACTTGTTCACCGGCAGTAACAAGTGCATTCAATAGGAAATAAGAAAAATCTGTGGAATGTGCCCTCGGCTACTTTTAGTGCCCCTCGCCCTCCTCCGCTGGTCATTTCTTTGAAGTTGCGGCTCTCTTTAAGATCCCCCTTTTAACCCCTCCCCACTTTACCCTAAGATTGTGAGGAGATAAAAAATAAAAAAAATCGGCTGCCAGTTTCATTTCGCGGGAATTGTTCGATACAGAATTTTTGACCGATATTTATTTTTTATTGTAAAATTCGCTGAAACAAAAGAATAACTCCTTTATTTTCTGCACAAAAAAGAAGAAAGCGAAAAAAAGAGAGGGAAGGATAAAAAGAAAAGAGGAGAAAAAAAAAGAAGAGATTTCGCATTTGTGGTAAAATGTTTGTTGAAGAGTTTGAAACAGTTTCATAATATATTATTGAAATTGATACTCTTCCTCCCAAGCTGTAACTGTGACCACATAGAATAAAGATAAAAAGATATTTTGTTTGCTAATATTATATAAATCGGTAATACTTAGAAATAATGCTCATTGTTTTTTTTCTTTTTTTTCATAACTTTTTTTAATGTTTAAGTCCCCGCTAAACTGAAGTAAATGCAGCATTTTGAGAAAACATTGGGGAGTTTGGAGTTTTTATGCAAAAATGAAATGGAGAGCATGTTTATAAAATGAATTTCCGCTCAATTGGTTAATCAATAAACTGGCTGATAATGGTGCTTATGCACACCATTTTATTTCTTAAATAAACAATTATTTTTCATGTCTTCTTTATGAATTTAATGTAAATATATTTTACTGAAAAATAATACCATATTTTATAAAATTTTTATGATTGGTTTAAAAAATATAAATCCATGTAAGATCCTGTTTTTTGTTTCGAACAAAAAGTAGAGGTTAATAGATTATTAAAGAAAAAAAAAGCTTTTTCGTTTTAACGCTTACTTTAATTTTTATAAAAAAATCATGGTTAAAAAAAGCTTTACATGTGGGCTTATTTGCAAATCTTGGCAGTTACGGATATTTTACTCCGTTCGAAAATGGGCTAAAATTGAAATGGTTTTTTACTACCAGTTACAAGTTTCTTCCTCATTTGCGTGAAAGTTTCCCTTCTACGGATTTTCTTATGAAGATAAGTCAATATTAAGATTACGGTACACCCGACATATTACTTACTTGTCGTATAACAGATCAAAGTAGTAACGGATACTTTTCTCTTCTCGAAAACAAGCTAGAAATGTAATGGTTTTACTACCAGTTACTTTCTCACTTGCGTATAAGATCTCTTTCCGCAGATTTTCTCGTGATGGTAAGTCAATATATTAAAAGTGGTGGTTGCGGTACACCCAACTTATTTGTTTTATGACAAGTCTCGAACATTTTGTCACGAACTTAGTCACGAACATTTTGCTTCTCTTGCAATCGAAAGCTTCAAATTTAATGGTTTTACTACCAGTTACCAGTTTTTTTCTCATTTGCGTTAAATATTCCTTTCCACAGATTTCTCGTGGTGGCAAGACATTATTAACAACATTAAATATCGTGTTGTTTTCATCAACCATTGCATCTTTGTAAATAAAGCGAAAGTTCACTCATTAATTGTAGTAAAAATCTATAATATTATTTATTTTATCTACTTGTTTAATAAATTTTATTTATTTATTTGCAGCTCAATCTGACCTCAGCGAGACAGCGAAGAGACTTCGAACAGAGAAACCTTACGGGACCAAGTATGAGCAGACGACGCAATTATTCCTCCCCTCCACTCGTCCCCCCTGCATAGACAGCCTGTACCAAGAAGCGTGTACCAGTCCAGTGGCCGTCATGTGTACCATTGACCAGTACAGGACGGACGGACTTTCGGCCTCCGAACTCTTCATGGTCACTCCCGTCTTGGGAGGGACAAGAAAGAAAAAACGGAAGCTTCTGGACATCGAAACAAGAAAGGTAAGACAGATAACGAAAGGCTTAATTTTTGTTTCCATAGCAAACGGCCTGAGACTTTGTGGCGGGGGGAGTTCTTACCGTAGACAAACTATGTATTTAGAAAAAAATAATAAAAAAACTTAACAATGATTTAGGATTCTTGACCGAGCTCAACTGTCGAGAAAGTGGAGACGAGTTGAGAAAATTCTAAACATGTTTTTTTCTTCTTTTTCTTTATTTATTTTCTTTCTTTTTTTTTCTTGAATTAATGGTGGATTTGTACTAAATGGAAAGTATCTTTCGATACATGTAAAATCCAAGGTCTTCAGCCAGTCACAATTTGAAATATAGAGCGTGCGGCATTTTAGATTCTTCTTTAATAAATTTTTTTCTGACAAAATTAAACGAATACAATCATGCAATCAGAGCCGCGATGGCTCAGGGGATAGAGCATTCGCCTTCCAATGAGGTGAACCGGTTTCGAATGCCGGCAATGGCTGGTAGATAGGAATTCCGCATCCTGCTCGCACCGACCACAGTACTGACGTGAAATATCGTCAGTGGTAGACGGAACATGAGTTAGAGCCCCCTTGCCGTTAGGCGAACCGTGGGAGGTTCTCGTGGTCTTCCTCTCTAGGTAACGCAAATGCGGGTTAGTTCCATCAAAAAAGTCTTCCACGAAGGCAAATTTCTCCTAATACTTGATCCAGAAGTTCCTTTGTCTTCTGGATTGGGTTCAAAATGACAAGGCTACGCAGTTGAACATTCGAAGTCATAAACCCGAAAATTGGGTAGGGCTATTCAATGACGGTTATAAAATGTAATAAAATCATGCAATCAGCAGGTTTTGTAAGGTGGTTAAATAGTCTGTTTTCTGATCATCCAAATAGGTTTTAACATAGTTGCATCATCCAAATAGGTTTTTATCAATTTAAACTGCAATAAATAAATTTAAAAAAAATCTAAAACTGTCAAATGCGCAGTTTTACATAGCTTACTCAAACTTCAAAGATTAGAGGAAAATTCCATAAAAGTTCGAAAAATTACGAAGCTATTTCTCCTAATATTTTAAAGCGACCCCCTTATTTTTCACATTTTTAAAGGAAACGTATTGTACGAATTATTACTGTCGTAATCATCAAAAGTTTGTGACGTACAAAAAATATCAATTAAAAGAAAATCAAAAATTTTACCTTAAATCCAAGATGGCGTGGGCCCACGCCCTCTTGCACATATCCACTGAGAAATAAGGCTGTTGAAATCTCCTTTTAATGACGTCACAAACAGTAACAATTTTTAACTGATTAGCAGCCAATTTTAAGTATTTGTCATAGAATAATAAACAGTTTCGTTAGCTACAGGTTACGTTATTCTTTACATCTATTATTATATAACTTTTAAGCATGCCGTATCAAAAATAGAGTAAACGCGACATTTATCAAGTGGCAGTTAAAACAAAACCGAGTGTTTTTTATTTTTTTTAAATTCTTTTTTTGCAGACTTAATAATAAGCTTCTTAATTACATGATAAAAGAAAACGTATTTAAGAATTACTATGCTTTTAGTAATGTTTATTGTTTATTAGTGGGTATTATTAGATTAACAAAACATTCATATTTTCGTAAGACTTTTAGAGCGTGAAATTAAATAAATTTATTCATCATTTGTTTTGTGCTAATATTTATGAATTCGGACCCAAGAAAAAACTATTCCCGAAAATAAATTTCCGATCTCATTAAAGAACTGAAACTTCTATTATTTAAAAAACTAGTATAATAAACAGTTTAGTTTTATTTCTAAAAGAAAGAGAAAAAATGAATCTTATTCTTAATTTGATAGTGCACTATTATCTGATTAAAATTTCTAAAATATTTTACTTTAATGCATAAAAACTCATCTAGTAATAATAGTAATAATAAAAAATAAAAAAAAAATGTAGGAATTTAGGTCATTGTTTGTCATTTAAATTGTTTTGGGTAATAATTTAAATTAGTTTGTTGTTCATGCTTGATATATAATAGCATGATTCTTTCTTTCACAAATAAATTAGTTTAATGTATCTTAAGATGAAGTGTTAAATGAATTTTTATGACATTAAAATTAATTTTTAGATTTCATGATTTAATTTTAATGCGTCAAATATGGGCGAAAGTATTGAGCAATAATTTATTGCTTACATTAAATTTTCAAATAATTCCAAACACAATGAAAAAAAAATTCGTTTCTCTATCTGTATTATTAAAAGTTTTCAGCGTTTTTTTTTTGGAGAGAAAAGAAAATGCTTTTTCTTCTTTTTCACAAGCATGCTTTTTTTAGTACATGTTATTAGAATCCCTAGGGATTCTTTTTCAGTAATTCTTTTTTCTCTGAAAGATAAAACTTTAAGGTAATTTTTTTTGTCACAATCAGCCTAAAATAAAATTAAGAGTTGAATAAGCGTTTTGAAGATTAAAATTTTCACAGTATTTTATTTATATCTGCATTTGATGCTTTTTTTTAAAAAAATTTTCTTTTTAATTTTGCATACAGGGAACCATAGAAAATGTTTTAATTGATATACAAGCAATGACACAGAATGCGTAGATTTACTGCAAAAACCGTAATGCTGATTTTTTTTAACGAAAAATATTGCTGAAATTTAGAGCTTTAAAAATAGGGAAATTTTCACACATTTTTAAAATTTTGGAAAGATTTGAGCCATGTTATTAATTTTAACGATGCAAAAAAAATGTTCTGAGGATGTTGTGCTACTAATTAACATTTCATACCAGTTGAGGATAAAGAAATAGGAAAAAAAGCTACGTTTATTTTTGAAAATAATAAATATTATCTTAAAAGTTTTACAATCTTAAGAGTAAAATATTTCGCTAAATTATTTTGCCTCTTTTTTATATTATATATCGTCGTTTATTTGTAGATAATTGTTTTGTTTATGCTTACATTATTTCCACTTGGAATTTAAATGTTTTTCTTTTGGCTCTGAAAGAATTCTTTAGAGTTAAAATAACAATTTTATGAATGCGCCAATAGTTTTTTGTCTCTTTTCTAACATACTATGACGTTTTTTTTAGTCTCCTAATCTTTTTCACATTCAAATGTATTATTTCTTGTTTTCTAATCTATGATTAAATCCAATATTTTATTACATATTAGCAAATAAGAAATGTTCCATCTGAATAAGGCTCATTCTTTTGATATTAAAAATAGTTTTGATGAATCATGATTTAAAAGTGAAAAGAATACTTTTTTTTAATAAAATACTTTTTTATCATGAAATGCAAATAATACTGTTTCATGACAAATAGCCCTCCCTACATGTCCATTTCATTCAGGGCTGGATTACCCATTAGACCAGACTAGGCCATGGACTGGGGCCCCCACAATGATTAGGGGTCCCCTTAAAAAAATTTTTTTGAAAATAAATTTTAAAAAATTAAGAAAAACAATGATTTTTTTAAAAAAAAAATCTATTTCAAACTTATATTAATAAAATACAATAATTTTTTTAGTTCTAATTTAACAGAAGTAAAATTTAATTTATTATTATTTATTTTTATTTTAAATCTGCATTCTTAAATGAAAAGATAAATAAATAGTTTTATATTTGAATAAATAAAAAATATACGAGAAAAAAAAATTTAATCTAAGGGCCCCAAAAATTTGAATGGCCTAGGGCCCCGCGTACGCTTAATCCGGCCCTCATTTCATTGAGTTGTAATGTGAAACAGAATATTGAGTAATTCAAATAAATAAAAAAAATTCACCCCTTTTAACTTGAAAACCTGATTATGATAATTGTGTAAATTAATAAGTTCAATGAATCTGAATTAATATTTATAAAAGTAAAGGTGAAAGTTCTTTTAGATCTCAGGAAGCTCCCGAAACTAATATTATATGAACTAAAAATCATAAAATGTTACAAGTTAAGTCTCTTAAAAGTATATTTAATTACTGATTCCTTCTTAACGTATGTGTCCCATGTGGTCTAGTGGTTAGGATTCGTGGCTTTCACCCACGCGGCCCGGGTTCGATTCCCGGCATGGGAAACTTTTTATTCATCCTTTTGAAAATGGAAATTAATATTTCATCGCATTAATAAAAACGAAAATTAATCGATTTCGTTTACTTCCATTGATAGATATTTTTTTAAAAATTATTTAAAATGATCCGTGTTCTGTAATGTTTGATGCAGAAATTTGACAGTTATAACTGTTAGTTATATTATATTTGATAGATATAGTTTAATATTTATAACTTTTATTTCTTTATCTCTGCAGAACAGTTATGTCTCATGGAAAAACTAACAACTATTTTACTAAATTAAAATTGAAAAATAAATTATGATTAACAGTTGAACAATATCGTTCATAAAATTAATTATTGTTTCAATCCTATAACATCAAAACGCATGCTGTTTCATTTTTCAATTCTGTAGCAGAGTAAGTGTAGTGATACAGTTATTTTATATATTTATCATTAATCACGGCAGTTTTAAATTTATGTAGCTAATTACTCGTATTAATTAATCTATTTACTTTTTGAATTTTTTGGTACAAATAATGTTCTATATAAAAAATTAATCTATTCGTATAGCTCTGAGTATAATTCGTGTTTTAGTATTAATGTTCTTTTTCTTTTCATAATAATTTTTCGTACTAATTATAATTCATTTAAACGTATTCATGTTATTATTTTTTAGCCTGCCAACTTTTCTCTTGTGAAAACAAAACAAGATCGTATACAGTCTGGTAGTGCTTCTCTTCCTCCTATGGTGTCTCCATCTATGGGCTTCACTCTTAAACAAAATGAAAACTTAGAATTGGAGCGACTGCCATCTCCTGAAGAACAAGCGATGCTCGTTTCGCTTGAATATCCGTCCATGGTAGTTCCTGTTGATACATCTGGAAAAACATTCAACCGAATGTCTTTGCTTAGAAGATCCTTAATTCATGTAAGTAGCAAATATCAACTTTTAACTGAAATATTTTGAGTATTACAAAAAAAAAAAAAAAATGGAACTTCAATGAAAATCTCGGGGTATTCGAATTCACATTGTTTTCAATGTTTGTTTATGATAAATAATTATATCTTTTACCTATATAGAATATTGCAAGGCAGAGCTTTAACGAAATTAATATTTTCTTTTTTTATGTTAGTTTATTATCTTAGTTATAGTTTGTTTTTCATGTTAGATTCCTATAACACCAAAGGAATTTTTCTTTTGTAAGAAAAACAATAAGTTACCCAGTGCGTGCGCACACATGTTTGTTTTATAAACATAATGGGAGAAGATTGTAAGATGGAAATAAGGTGAAATGATGCTCTTTTTTATCACTTTTCTGTGCTGATACCAGAAATAAATAAAAATGTCTTCCTCTTTTTTGTTGAAGGCTACTACAATAGTTATTAACTCGTCTTCGTCATAAACATCCAATTTGTATATCTTTACTATTAGCGATCAGCCTTTTAACGGTGAATTGGAGACTTGTCGTAACAGCGGAGTTATCGTAATGCGCCGTTCTCGTTATATCCAGTTTTTATTGTATTTTAATGACCTTTTTTGGAACAAAAATTGCTATTTTATAACAAATATTTTCTTAATTTATTTTTTAAAAAAAATACTTTATCATTACTTTTTTATTAAAACTAAATGGTTTATAGTTAGTTTTTTGTTCGATATAACTCATAATGGCAAAAAGAATCGCTGTTTTGTACAAGTAAGCATACTTATTTGCTGTTGAAATAGCAATAAAACTGAGTAAAAGATTAAATAGACACGTTTACCTATTTTCATTTCATTTTGAACAATAATTTTGATTTAAAATACATATTTAAAGTAGAATGCTATTAATTGGATATTATTTTCTTTTATAAAGAGAAATATAACTTTACCGGTAGTTGCTCACACATGTTTTTTCATTTATAATAAGTTAGTGTGCAAATATAATGTTAGTGTGCAAACGGAGCATAAATTGAATACATTTAAGTAACTAAATTATAGGAGAAATTATCCTGCATTTGAATATGGAAGAGACGAAAAAATAATTTAAGAATAAATTATTTCATTTTAAGGTTCGTGATTAATTAAATTACGTCAAATGGGTATAAAACTACCAAAGTGAAGTAACCACAACAACTCAGGACGCTTCAATCACAAATGAGTGTTGTAAAAAAGGATAGTATTTAAATAACTTACAAGACTCTATTTTAAATCAAAATTCTAAACATGGAGCAATTAAGAAGCTAACTCATTTACAAATAATTATGAGTGAATGCTACTCACCATTGGTTACCGAAAGAAGACGAAATAAAAACAGAAAAATACCCTTTACAGTTTTATTTGGGAAAACAATAAGAAAGTTTACCACCTAAAATATGAATCACAGCAACCACAAGTTAAGAGATAAACACATGAAAAATGATTAAACCAGTAAGGATCAAAGAACAAACTTGACCCAGATAATGACAGAAATGATATATGACTGTGTATTCGGCTGGAGCCCCAGGGTATAAAAGATCAAATTAGGATAGATTTACTAGTATTGGGGAAGCAGTGGTTTACTATAAAGATCATTAACTAACTTAATAGAATTTTTCGAAGTATGGAATGGTTTTCAGAAATCAAGTTCGATTCATGAGTTGTAGTTCCGGAAATCACGAACTTGATTCCTGGAAATCATTCGATAATTTGGAAAAATTATAATAAGGTAGTGAATGATCTTTCTGGTACCATACTCAACCTCATTCTCACAGAACGCATGTTTCTTTTATTATCTTGTTAAAATTTATTGAAATCCTCTGTCCCTATTGGTTACATTACTTGGCACGTGCTTGACTCTTTCTTGGTGTTTAGACACTGAAAAGGTTCTTGTTTATTTATCCGAAACTATAGTATGTCCACTTCTGCACTTTCATTTATGTTTCATACAGTTTTTGTTTTGTTTACACAGAACAAATATAGTGCGGCTTTGAAGAGTACTCCTCCAGACTGAAAGTCTGGGGCTGTCTGCTGCTATGGTAACAAGCGAGAGCACATTTCTAATGGGGGTGAAATGGAGAAAAAAAGGTGTCGATTGGTTTACTCACGATGACCTACGCTAAAATTAAGACAAAACTGTTCACCCCACACCCCTATTCGAAGTGACCTTTCCTCGTAACCATAGTACTCGCCATGACGCGAGACGGGTGTCTGGAGGAGTTCTCCTGAGAGCCGCACTATACACCCTATTCTTTTTGGATGGAATTTTCCCGTTATTTATCCTACTTGATTGTTGATCGTTAAATTTAAAATAATAATAATAATATTTATACATACGAGGTTATTTATTTTACTTTTAGGCTGATTTCGTTATCAAGCGGAAAAAGAGCAAAAAACGATCGAAAAGACGTCACACATTCTGCGAAGGTGACAATCGTGAAATCGAGAGAGCTTTGCGCAATGTCACTAACACGTCTTGCCAGACCGATGACTTGATGGACATTGGTTCGGACTCTTCCTCGGCCACCCTCATACGACGTCCATCTTTCTTGACCAAGAGGCGGTCTCGATCTGTCCAGGACAACTCTAGGAGAAAGACAAATGCCCTGGATGATTTGGATCTGGACTCACTCAAGAATTTGGATTCCAAAGATTCGGCGACAGAAGATGATAAAGAGAAATCGCCCTGTAAGGTAAGATAATCGTTTCGTGATTTAAAATTTATTATTAAAGTAAATAAATTAATTAATAAATAAATAAAACTAATTAATCATAAAAAATTTTTCAAGATTTTATATAAAAACAGTTACTATTTTCCATGATTTTATATTTTGGTGAAGAAAGCAGTTACAATTTTCCATGACTGGTTCTTTTAGATAATAGAACAGTTACCATTTTCCATGTCGTGGTTTTTATGGCGAAAAGAACAGTAGCATCTTTATATGACTGGTTCTTTTGAAGAAAAAATTCAATCGCAATTTTTCTTGTTTGATCATTTTGGAGAAAAGAATAGTTGCAGTTCCCCATGAGTGGCTCTAATGCAGAAAAGAACCAATAAAATTTTCTACGATTGATTCATTTACAGAAAAGAACAGAGAAAAAATTCTATGGCTGGAACTTTCGGCGAAAAGATCAATTAAAATTTTCCATGACTGATTATTTTGTGGTTACAATTTTCTATGACTAATAATTCTAGAGAATTAGACAGTTACTACTTTCCATGATTATTAATTTTTTCTTAAATGAGCTGTTAAAATTTTCCATGATTGGGGGAAATTAAGGGGGAAAATAATAATAATTTTTCGAATTAATCATTACATTGGGGGGAAAACAGTTTTTATGTCTTTTGAGGGTTAGAGCTATCAATTTTCTTTTTTTTTCTTTTGGAGAAAAAAAGAAAAAAAGTTACAATTTTTCATCGTTGATTCTTTTAGTGAAAGAGATAAATTTCAATTTAACATGACTGATTGTTTTGAGGGAGAAAAAATTACAATTTTCCTCGATTAGAGAATCAGACAGTTACAATTTTCTATTATTAAGTTACTATTTAGGGAAAAACAATTACAATTCTTCATTAGTGATTACTTTGGGGCAAAAACAGTTACAATTTTACATGATTGATTGATAAGTCGATGACTGTAATCTAAATGATAGGTTTGAGAAAATAAACAGTTACAATTTTTTATTATTAACCAGTTACTTAGGAGGAAGGAATTACAGTTGCAATTTTCGATGTCTGATTACTTTGGTGTGAAACAGTTAAAATTTTTATGACTGAGATTTTTATATAAGAAAAACGTTAAATTTTTTTAATAAGGGAAAAAAAAAGATTTTGCAAAATTTTCCATGACTGATTGCTTTCTTGGAGAGGGTATGATTTTTTAAGTTTGATTAATTTGAGATGGGACAGTAATAATTTTTCCTTCCTTACTAACTTCGAAAAAAAGACGATGTAAAACATTGAAATGGACAAAGAGGGTTAAAAACATATTTTTCAAAAATGTTCCTGTTTTCTTTTTTAAATAATTATCTCAACTTTATAATTAAAACAATTGGTAGTTCTGTACCTCTTTTTCCACTTGTTCCTCGATTTCCGATAATTTTATAAAATAATTTCAGTTGCTTTCCTTAAACTACCAGAATTAATTTGAAAACTCCCCATTTTATTCAAATTATCCCCATTTTCTTCATTTTCATTCTAATATCCTCAGAATTATTGAAACAAATAGGAATATAGTGAAGAGAAAGTCTTTTGTTACCTGATCATCCATGTAAATCTAGCATCTTCTTAACTTATGTGTTTCAAAAAAAGGAAGAAAAAAAATTTTTCTGTCTTTCGAAAAGTAACTAAAACATACCTCAAATAAATAACATTGTGGCGTAACTACTACTACGATTATTTAACATCGATTCCGTAGTATATAAAACATGTTGCTCTTTAATTACTTCGAGGTACAGCATGATAGGCTATGGTTAACATTGACGATTAGTATTAATACTATATTGGAGTCCCGGGCATGATAGGTAGTCGTCTACTTCGATGGAGTGGGATAATCGGTATCTGCGACTTTCTTCACCTCTCTTACACACATGAGAGTATCTGTACCGTATACACTCGCCAGTAAATAGAAATACCCAGAAAAGTCTACACACTCAACCACAACCACTCAATTTCAGCTAATAGCCTAATGTACAATATTCAGCTCTCCCAACCAGCGCCTAAAATTCGATTAATTAATCACAATTCTTCTGCAAATTCGTTAATCAACTATTTATTTTCATCATCGAAATATCTCCGATTAAATTCTGGAGTATATTGTGGTGTAACTACCACTACAGTTATTAAATAACAATTTTCTAGTAAATAAGACATTTTGTAAATATTTTCGATTACTGCTATCTATTCCCACAACATGTTGTGATTTTTCCAAACATACTAAAAAGTGCAACGTTAAGAAAAGTATTTTTTAATAAATAATTTGAAAAAGCATAGTTTTTTTTCTTTTTTTTTCGTAGAAAAAGGAGAAAAATGCTTAAAAATCGAATTTCAAAATAACTGATAGAAATAAAATAAGCTATCAACAGGATAAAATGAAATTTTTTTATTTATTTTTTATTTTTATGTAAAATTTTAAATTGCATAAAACATGTGTCATCCGGAGCTTTTGATGCAAAATGAAATATCAATTATTCCGATGTAAATTTTAATTCTGTGAATGCAATCTTTTTTACATATTACATTTCCTGAGATTTAACAAAGCAGGTTTCGTCACTAATTGATTGGTAAATCCATTAATCCGAATTTTGAGCTTTAAAAAAAGAGAACAATTTTTTTAATTTATTTCAACTTTTTTTTCGTAAAAAAATTCAAAATTTGCTAATTATAAAAACAGTGAAAACCAGAATTTCCTATACTTTAATGTAATTCTCAAAATCATAAATGCCGCTGTTGTTATTGTTTAACATTAATTTATATTTATTTACTTATCTTCATTTAATTAAAGATAAATTTTTTTTTCATTAAAATTCTTAAAAGAAAATTATTTAGTTTACATTTGTGGCGCCATCTGTTAATGGACAGAAGGATGACTTTAAATAGTTATTATTTTCAGGATTTAAAGATACATAATGCGCTCTCCTAGTTGTGAAATACCGAAAATAACTTCGGAAAATAATTTGCGAATTAATTTGTTGAATATGAGTTTCGAATAAATAAACAGAAAAAACATAATCGGAATATTAAATCAATTATATTAAATTAATGAATGAATAAGAAGCTTTTTTTATTCTATATATTTATTATTACATATATTATACTGGTAATTTTGAAATTATAAAATAATCGACAATTATTTAAATTGTTGAGTTATTGTTGTTGCAAAATAAACGCTGTAATTTTTCCTACCATTCGTGTTTTTACCTTTTTTTTCTTAATTTTAGTATTTTAATAACCTTTTTTTTTTTACCTAAATATGATTCTTTGTTTTGCAATTATAGAAATGAATTAGATTCACTTTTTAAAATAAATACTTGTTTACTCATAACGTAGATCAGTATTCGAAAGCAAAAATTCATATTCGTAACGTGCCGAAATAGCTCAGTTGGGAGAGCGTTAGACTGAAGATCTAAAGGTCCCTGGTTCGATCCCGGGTTTCGGCAGATTCTAATTCCTCGGTAGTATAGTGGTCAGTATCCCCGCCTGTCACGCGGGAGACCGGGGTTCGATTCCCCGCCGGGGAGGTTTTTTTAAAAAGTTTTTAAGAAATTAATCAAGAATTTGAATTCTACAAATAATGATTAATTTACAGATATTTTTTTAAAATCATTTTTGCCGTTAATTCTTTTCTCAATTTATTACTGTTAATTTTTTTTACTTTTTTTTGTTAAAAAAAGCTAATAAAATGATATAAATTTGAATTTATTTAGGTTTTAGAAAATATTCGAAATATTATTTTTTTACATCGAATGCACTTATTTTCTTATTAAATGAGTCTAAATCATTTCTTTAACCAGAAATTATTTCTAAAATTTTTGATGAAAACCTTAATCTGATGAAAGCATTAAATATCCAACAGAAGATAATAAATATTAAAAATTTCTTTGAATGTTATCTTGACATACGAAGACTTGATGACCTATAATATCCTTGATGGCCAAACTTATTATAATACATTGCTCGTGTAGTGCGTACCTATGGTGTAGTGGTTATCACATCCGCCTAACACGCGGAAGGTCCCAGGTTCGAAACCTGGTAGGTACAAGCATGTAATTTTAAATTATGAACGAAATGTTTCTTTTTAAACATTTTTAAACTTTAGCGTGAAACATTTTTATTTTTTTTAATTTCATTATTTTTTAAGTACTTATTGTAGGTGTATTTTCAATAATCAATATATTTTTTGAAATAAATTTTAAGCATGAATTATATTTTTAGTATTATATTTAGAATTTTGCTTTTAATTATTAAAAAAAAATTTAAATTACAAAATAATTCATATTTTTTATAAGTGAAATTTTTAATACTATTTTTTATTTAAACTTTGACTTTAAAACATATTTATTAACACGTTCACACCGGGTGTTGCGCCTGAAAGCTGGACGAAAAAGAGAAAACACTGGTAGAAGAACTATTTCAATATTAGATAATATTCGGGAGTAGTCAGTTAATCTAATATCAACAATAGCAATTCACTGTAAGGAAAATTATCACTGCGAAGAGGCAATTCAATATAAAAATTGAATCTATTAAAAACAATTGGTAGTTATGGATTTTTATTATTTCCGGAAAAAAACTAAAAAATGAAATTTTTTTGTTACCAGTTTTTACTCCGGTGTGCCGCCCGATGAGACAATCTAGCGTGACTCACCGGTGGGTCACCCCGGCGTGAACGTGTTAATACATCAAGAAATATTTATTTATAAATTTTATTCCTAGCAGAAAATGACAGAAAATGAATCTAAATAAATTTTTAATTTTAATCGAAACATTTATTTTTTATTCACTTAAAATTTCAAGATTGAATTTTTTAGGTATGTGGCATTTTTGTACATAATATTGCGCATTGCAATATGTAGCATACGATACATGTTGTTGCTTAAAAAAAATGTCCTATTTGTTCTGAAATTCTATTTTAGCGTCAATAGCATTAACAATAGAGAGAAAATAGTTGTCAAGGCACTTTTCTCAAATCTGTCATGAAGCACTTAAGTTATTTTTTCAGCTGCACGACACAGTAGAATACTTAATTTATCTATATCGATTTTTAATTTATTAATTAGACGTTAGCTAAACAAAATTATTGTTTTCGGCTGTGCCTTTCTCTTTCATTTAATTTGTTCATTAAAATATGATTCTTGAAAATTTATCTCTATATCAATTTATATTGTCTTACCTAATTAGTTTATTAGACATTAACCAAACAGAATTACAGCCACGCAAAATTATTTAATTCTTTTTACCTTTCTTTTTTATTTCATTTGTAAAAAAATATGATTTTTAAAATTTATCTCTAAATCAATTTATAATTTTTTACCTGATAAGTTCATTAGACAATATCCAAGCAGAATTATGAAATTCTGTTTTTATGTAAAACACCACTTTCATTCCATTAAAATTTTTGAACTATACTTATACATACCCTCCAACTTATGAGGATTTTGAAAATAATTCTTTCTAGTGGTAGCGAACCAAAGTAGAAATTTTTAAAGCAAATGGATCTCTCATAAAACTTTTATCAGAACTTAAGAATCTAGCCATATGGCCTGCACTTTTATAAGTAATAGTGGACAAGTTACGCTAAAATGAATTTTTTTTTTAAATATTAAGACATTAACAGAGATGCCAACTTGATCAGCTTTGTAGAATAGCATTTTCTAGTGGTAACGAAATTTAAGTTACTTTTAGTTTACTATTTTCCCCTTTAAGTAATTTTTCCACCACTAAACATCAAAAATTATAAGCATCATATAAAATGCAACGTTTAAGCTGAAATTTATTGGTTGCTCTACTAAAAAATAGGCGTACCTCTCCTTTTCTCGCGAATTTTACCAACTAATTTGCTACCACTATTTCAGAATGCGGAGCAGTTGGCATCCCTGCATTAATTTTGCTACCGTCTGAAAAGAAGATTTCTGAAACTACGGAAATTCCGTAGCAGTTGGAGGGTATGCTTATAGATGAGTTTGACCACCACTACATGTAAATAATTGCAACAAATATATAAAAGCATAATAATCTTTCCTATATCGTATTTCAACATGGTCAGAATATAAATATATTTTTGATTAAGATTGTATTTCTTTTACTACCGTTTGAAAAAAACTTTTTTCGGATAGAGTGAAAGATGGTAGGCGGGGATACCACAGGAGGCTATAAATGAGAAAAGTGGTAGAAACTCAATTAATTTTTATTTATTTATTAAATCTTTAATTATTCAACCGTAACTACCACTATGACTTTCATTTCAAAGTATTAATATTTAGAGCAGAAACATTCCCTCTTAGTAGCAAACTCCAAAAAAATGATATGCTGTTGAAAGATGATAATTTTATTTTGTTCTGATAAAATTTCGAATTTTATTAGTCGGCACTTTTTGCATTTATAGTCGTCCATAGCAACCCTGTGACACTTTTTAAATTTCAGCAAAATTACCAAAAATTCTGAAAGCATTAGTTTGCAATTAACTACCATTCTATATATTTTGCATGGTAATGGGCAGTCCTGAAATTGTGGTAGAACAATTGTTTCAAAACCATCATTTCCTCCGCCATAATTTATTTATTATTTAGGCATCCGCGACTAGATATGGTAAAAAAATAAAATGGTAGTAACAGTAGAATGTAGTAACAGAGAATGAGTTCATAAGTTGATCTTTTTCTTTCCAGTCCAACCCGGCCACCCTCAAAAAATCCAAGTCTTCCTCCCTTCGCTCCAGAGCTTACAATTTCAATCCTATCTCCAGCCTCTCAGCTGCTATATCCATAGCCGCTGTCAAGATGAGGAATTCCTCCAGGAAACAGGACGATGGTCGATCTTCCAGTGGAAACTGGAGTGCCAGCAGCAGCACTCGGGCATCTGTGGATTCGGACCACCATCAAGCAGCCTCTCCAGTGGACGGCATCAGTAGTCCCTCTCGAAATTCGGTGGGCAAGGATTCTGTACTGTCGGACACTACTCACCAGGATCCGCACAATAGGTCAGTATTACTCCCCTCACATCCTAGTGGTACAATTGATCAGGGCATCTGGGCCGCGAAGTGATCCCTATCTCATTCATCATGAATTTAAGTTCAGTTTGTGCTGAGTGTTTACGGTCAGCAGGCAGTGAAGTTGCTGTTTATACACTTCAAGCACTTTGCTTGAGTAACTAAAAACAAATGGAAATAATAAAAGCTACTTGGCCTAAACTAGGTTTGCTTCAAAAAATTTAAATTGTAGTCGTCGTAGATGAGTAAAAAAGGTGTCAGCATAATTCATTTTTTAGGTTGATCGATCTCAGCAGTTGTGATTTTATTTTGCAGAATTTTAATTTTTAGAAAAGCTTTCTTCACGTAACAGGGCTAAAAGTATTTATGCATTAGGAAAAAAAACAAAACAAAACAAAAAACGCACCAGACTGGTGAGAAGATGATATCATTTAAACTTATTTTCGCGAAAAGTGGAATATCCATGACTACCAAGACTTTTTTTTAAAAACAGTTATAAGATGAGCATAGGACTGTTTTATGTCCGTGAGGAGCCTACTTGACCGAAGTGGTATCGCCCGCCAAACGCTTTGCGTGGAAGTAGCAGGTTCGAATCCCACTGTCACCCTGGATGTATCCTCCTGCTCTTCTTTTTCGTATTGGGCTATCTGTCCTTNGTGTGCCGAAATAGCTCAGTTGGGAGAGCGTTAGACTGAAGATCTAAAGGTCCCTGGTTCGATCCCGGGTTTCGGCATTGCTCTGCTCCTCGGTAGTATAGTGGTCAGTATCCCCGCCTGTCACGCGGGAGACCGGGGTTCGATTCCCCGCCGGGGAGAATTTTTTAATTAAGTTTTTTTTTTTTTAAATTACTCTAGACTTCTACTTTTAATAGGCTTTCTATTTAAGTTTTCAAATAATGATTTAATTTAAAAAAAATTTCTTAAAATCATTTTTGACATGAATCTTTTCGTCAATTTATTACTGTGTTTTTTGGAAAATAAATAACTATAATATAAAGTTGAATTGATTTAGGATTTAAAAAATATTTGAAACAATATTTATTTTTATATTGAATGTAGTTATTTTCTTATTAAACGAGTCTATATCATTTCCTCAACCAGAACTTACTAATTAGATTTTTAATTTGATGAATATTATTAAATATCCCACTGACGATAATAAATATTAGAAATTTCTTCGAATCTTGTTATCTTGGCATACAAAAACTTGATGACTTATATCTTTGACGACTGGATTCCTTATAATACATTGCTTATGAAGTGCGTACCTATGGTGTAGTGGTTATCACATCCGCCTAACACGCGGAAGGTCCCAGGTTCGAAACCTGGTAGGTACAAGATAGTATTTTTTATTTATGGGGAAAATGTTTCCCTTTCAACATTATACTTTAAACATTTTTAAATTTTGGCTTAAAACAATTTTTTTTTTACATTTGAATTTCATTATTTTTTAAATACTTATTGCAGGTGCGAAATCAATATATTTTTTAAAATAAATTTCAAATAGGAATTATATTTTTAGTTTTATATTTAGAATTTTAATTATAATTTTTATGAAAAATTATAAATTATAAAATAATTCATATTTTCTATAAGTGAAATTTTTAATATTAATTTTTTATTTAAACTTTAACTTTAAAAAATATTTATTAATGCATCAATAAATATTTATTTATATATTTTATTTCCAGCAGGAAATGAATGTAAATTTACTTTTATTTTCAATCGAAACATTTATTTTTTATTCCCTTAAAATTTGAAGATTGAATTTTTTACGTATGGGGCATTTTTGTACATAATATTCCGCATTGCAATATGTATGTAGCATACGATACATATTGCTTAAAAAAATGTTTTATTTGTTCTGAAATTCTATTTTAGCGTCAATAGCATTAACAATAGAAAGAAAATAGTTGTCAAGCCACTTTTCTCAAATTTGTCATGAAGCACTTAAGTTATTTTTTTCAGTTGCACGACACAGTCGAATACTTAAAATTTATCTACAGCGATTTTTAATTTAATAATTAGACATTAGACAAACAGAATTATTGATTTCGGTTGTGCCTTTCTCTTTCTTTTAATTTGTTCATTCAAATATGATTCTTGAAAATTTATCTCTATACCAATTTATAAGGTCTTACCTAATTAGTTTATTAGACATTAACCAAACAGAATTATAGCCTCACAAAATTATTTAATGCTGTTTTACCTTTCTTTTTAATTTCATTTGTACAAAAATATGATTCTTAAAATTTATCTCTAAATCAATTTATAATATTTTACCTGATAAGTTCATTAGACATTAGCCAAGCAGAATTATGAGATTCTGTTTTTATATAAAACACCACTTTCTTCCTGCTCTTTTATGGTGAGGCAAGGAAGCATAGCTGCCAACTCTTCCGGTTTTCCCAGAATATTTCATTATCATATTTAAAGTGGTAGTGAAACTTATGTTATTCCATTAAAATTTTTGAACTATACTTATAGATGAGTTTGACCACCACTACATGTAAATAATTGCAACAAATATATAAAAGCATAATAATCTTTCCTATATCGTATTTCAACCTGGTCAGAATATAAATATATTTTTGATTAAGATTGTATTTCTTTTACTACCACTTGAAAAAAACCTTTTTCGGATAGAGTGAAAGATGGTAGGCTATAAATGAGAAAAGTGGTAGAAACTCAATTAATTTTTATTTATTTATTAAATCTTCAATTATTCAACCGTAACTACCACTATGACTTTCATTTCAAAGTATTAATATTTAGAGCAAAAACATTCCCTCTTAGTAGCAAACTCCAAAAAAATGCATACTTGCCAACTTTTACGCATTTGGCGTAAAATTTTATTGATATATTTAAAGTAGTAGTAAAATGTATGCTTTCTATATGCTATGTATCTCTTGCATTTATAAACTTAGTTTGTAATGTTTTGACCACCACTTTTTTTTAAAAAAATAAGCATATATAATAATATGTAATACTTTGAGATTACAGCGTATGTTTCTGCCAAAAATTGTAATTTAAATTCCAATTTACTACCACTGGGGTAAATCATCCTCGAAAGGATTGAAGGTTGGCAGGTATGAAAATAATATACTGTTGAAAGATGATAATTTTATTTTGTTCTGATAAAATTTCGAATTTTATTAGTCGGCACTTTCTGCATTTATAGTCGTCCATGGCAACCCTGTGAAACTTTTTAAATTTCAGCAAAATTACCAAAAATTCTGAAGGCATTAGTTTGCAATTAACTATCATTCTATATATTTTGCATGGTAATTGGCAGTCCTGAAATTGTGGTAGAACAATTGTTTCAAAACCATCATTTCCTCCGCCATAATTTATTTATTATTTAGGCATCCGCGACTAGATATGGTAAAAAAAATAAAAGGGTTGTAACAGTAGAATGTAGTAACAGAGAATGAGTTCATAAGTTGATCTTTTTTTCTTTCCAGTCCAACCCGGCCACCCTCAAAAAATCCAAGTCTTCCTCCCTTCGCTCCAGAGCTTACAATTTCAATCCTATCTCCAGCCTCTCAGCTGCTATATCCATAGCCGCTGTCAAGATGAGGAATTCCTCCAGGAAACAGGACGATGGTCGATCTTCCAGTGGAAACTGGAGTGCCAGCAGCAGCACACGGGCATCTGTGGATTCGGACCACCATCAAGCAGCCTCTCCAGTGGACGGCATCAGTAGTCCCTCTCGAAATTCGGTGGGCAAGGATTCTGTACTGTCGGACACTACTCACCAGGATCCGCACAATAGGTCAGTATTACTCCCCTCACATCCTAGTGGTACAATTGATCAGGGCATCTGGGCCGCGAAGTGATCCCTATCTCATTCATCATGAATTTAAGTTCAGTTTGTGCTGAGTGTTTACGGTCAGCAGGCAGTGAAGTTGCTGTTTATACACTTCAAGCACTTTGCTTGAGTAACTAAAAACAAATGGAAATAATAAAAGCTACTTGGCCTAAACTAGGTTTGCTTCAAAAAATTTAAATTGTAGTCGTCGTAGATGAGTAAAAAAGGTGTCAGCATAATTCATTTTTTAGGTTGATCGATCTCAGCAGTTGTGATTTTATTTTGCAGAATTTTAATTTTTAGAAAAGCTTTCTTCACGTAACAGGGCTAAAAGTATTTATGCATTAGGAAAAAAAACAAAACAAAACAAAAAACGCACCAGACTGGTGAGAAGATGATATCATTTAAACTTATTTTCGCGAAAAGTGGAATATCCATGACTACCAAGACTTTTTTTTAAAAACAGTTATAAGATGAGCATAGGACTGTTTTATGTCCGTGAGGAGCCTACTTGACCGAAGTGCCCGCCAAACGCTTTGCGTGGAAGTAGCAGGTTCGAATCCCACTGTCACCCTGGATGTATCCTCCTGCTCTTCTTTTTCGTATTGGGCTATCTGTCCTTCTACTTGACAAAGGTTTTTACGCCTGCGAACGTGTCTTGTACCAATAAATCAAATTATATCCCCGAGTGAGTTAATATAATAGTCATGAACAGTTTATGATTAAACACATTTCAGCGTATATCATAACCCTTAATACCCAGCTATAATTGAAATGGTTTTACTATCAGTATTTCTTTTTTCCGTCTCACTTTCAGGACTATACTTGTGACTACTAATTTACTCGAAGCCTGACATTGTCCCGCAGTGGACTGATCGTTAAGACACGGCTCCCAGCAGATCACCGCAATCAAGCATCACTGACTGCGGTCAGTGTGCGGGTGGGTGACCAATTGGATCAGTCTGCGTAGGGACTGAGGGTGTGCGGTATTGGTCCTCGTTAAACTGTGCTACCGTAAAGTGCTCGACCTCGCGTGCAGGTCGTTGGGCTACCGAAGCAGGGGTGCCATCTCCTCTGCAGAGGATCAAAATTGTGATAGCATGTCTTCGGATCATCCTCAAGGATTCCCAGACAGTCGCCAATAGCCCATTGTGCAGCTCTAGTGCGACGTAAATGAACTACAACAACGGAGCCTGACATTAGGTGCATGACGTCAACAAGACGAAAAAAATCCGCATTTTTATCTCCTATTCTTTTAGCCTGCTTTCAAGCAAGCATTGTTAGGTGAAGGCAACTCCAAGTCAGGCTTATAATGATTGGATCTTTGCATCACGTGGTTATTTTTTTGCCTATCATTTCGAAGTAGCGTTTTTTAACATCAGAAATGTTATAAATTTTACAAGTTTTTTTTTAGGCCTATGGCGTCAGAAGGTCCTGTCTGCTTTTAGTCCTTGTGTAAATGGTGTGTAAGATTCAAGCGTGAATGTAACCATTCATTATTGGTGTTGAGGAGAAAGAAAGAGTGATTAAAATCATCAAAAGTCATTCTTATTTTCTAGTTAGATTGAAATGCGTCTGTCACTGTTGGGAACCGCTTATGAATTATTTTAGCCTCAAATCCGGTTTAAGACGATTTTAATTCTTCCTTTGATCTTTCACCCATTTTAACGTAACTAATAATAGAAGATGAAGAAAGTGATCATAGTAGCTTGAAGTTTCGGTTGGTTAATCAGGGATTTCTATGTATAGTGAGCAAGAACAAGCACTCAGAATAACTTTTGATCTAATAATCGAATTTTTATGTACTAGAACTCAAACTGAATGGTTCAAGGGGTGACTTCAAATACTATAGTTAATATGTAAACGACATTTGAAATTACAAAGCTCACAAGAACGTATTTTTTCTGAATAAACATATTTCTTTTCACGACAGATTTATATTCTTAACCTTCAAAACTTCGGGAATTGCCGCAATATGGAACTTTCTAGTTTCGAAAACATACGCTAGATGGCATTGGCAGTGAATCAGAACAAATTTGATACGGTTGCAAACGGTTAGGATTCCAAAAATTGGGTAGCAGCAGGGCAATGCTCATAAACCAATAAGACTTTTCCACATGTGTCAAATTTAAACATGTACCTTGATTTTCTGGACGCCATTTAAATAAATAAAAAAATGATAACAATAATAAACACAAACATCCTTTTTTTCAGATCCAGAGATGATATTTTGCCAATACAGTCTTTGACTTGCTCACCAGTAAAGCCCAGAAAATATCTAGGTGGATGGGAGGCACAAAATGGAAGAATTTCCAGCACACCAACCCCCGACCACACCTCCCAGTGTTCCTCAAGTACTCCATTGGTGCGGTCTCCTTACGTAGGACGCCGTGGCATCAACGACGACGGGGACTCATCCGTCTACTCAGTAGACACGGATGGTTACTACACATCCATGCACACGGACAGTGGGCTGTGGACCAGTGCAATCCCCACTTTGAAATCTGAAGACATCATCGCTGAAATGGCGAGATTTAGAGAACGCCAAGAATCTCAAAGTTCTGTGAGCACAGTTGATAACAGTAGCATCAACAGCTTTCTGTCTAAATCGGCCACGGAATGTTCATCGAACAGTGGTAGCTTAAAGAGAGAATCAGTAGAAAAGCTGCCACTGCCGACTGCCGATAAGGAACAAAATTCTAAACTGTGCCCGATGAAGTTGGAACAAGATTTGGAAGACAGCGACAAGTCGTACTCGCCTCAGCCTCAGAACGGATCTACATCAGAGTCAGATCATGAAGTGGGGGACCGGATTCGAGAAAAAACGGCCATCAGCGCGAATCGATATCCTTCCATGTGTGCTGTGTCACCAGAAACGAGTGATGATGAGAATTCAGAAATGAAAACGAAAACGATGAATTCGAAAGTGAACGTCATTGTGGCTGAAGTACATCGGGAAGACAACCGTCATGATTATTCCAAAGCTCCAAACCAAAATAAGACAGATTTCAAGACTGAAACGCCTCATTTACCTCAAAATAGTTCCTTTGCCCCCTCCTGGTCATCTAACTCGTCTACATCTATAAATATGTATAGAAGTGAAACTCCTGTTCCTTCAACTTTTTCTTCAACCATATGTCAGTCCACAGCAGTCAGTACTTCTACACCTCGTTCTGGCGTAAACATCACGACTTTTTCACCAGATTTTAATGACTCTGTCAGTCCACAACCTAAACATAATCCTAATGATTTTGGAAATATTAGTAAACAATCGCCCGTTAGGTTTAACAATAGTGAAGAGCTGATAGTTACCGAGCCCCCAACCTCTCCACTTGTCAAAAACAAATCCCTGATTCCGCTTAAGTATGCTCAAAGGATCACCGTGACCCCCATTGCTCGGAAAGATTATACCCCGGCTGGTACCGGAGTAACAGGGAGACCAGCTCCTTTGCAATATTCAGGTAAAGAATTACATTCACCCAAAATTGAAAAAACATTTAGTAGAAACCAAACTAAAAGCGATGGAGCATCAACTTATGTTTCTTTTAAAGCTCCTGACTCTCCAGCATCATCTGTTATCAGCGTTGTATCTTCTAATTCTGATAAGCCATTAGTATCTAGCCCAACAAATTCCCTTCAACGTCCCGTAGCCAGGGTAACTTTAGATCCCACTGGAAAAGTCGTTTATTCTTCCAATTCTCTTGAAAGACCTGTCAGTAATAGAGTCAGCCAAACAAGTGAGGCTTCACCCAGAGTTTATGCAACCATGCCAAAACAACAAAGTAATAACCATATCAATAAACCAAAAGAAATTTCAAGTGTTGATGGAAACGGGCAGGCTGCTTCAATAAATAAAGTTGAAAGTTCTGTTCCCTATCATCAAGATAATAATCCAACTTCAAGCTTCTCTTCTTTCAAATCCAATAATTCGAAAGATTTTACTTTCAGGCCTTCTAGAGGTGGAAGATTTTGCCGGTCATACTTCCCTTCGCACCTCATTTCAGCTAATTCTTCCAGAGGAGGAGGACATCAACAAGCTTCAAACAGAGCACCATATTCGCCAGCTGCGTCAACTTTGCAAGAAAACAATTCTTCTCATACATTACAAAAGCCCCTTGATGGCTCTACTGCACAAAATCATCCTAGGTTGTGTCCAGAACTATCTAATCACTCAGCTTCGAGGCCTACTTCTTTTAATCACGCCAGTTCAGTGCCAAACACTCAGAGGTCTGTCATGAATAACCCAAACCAACACAATACAACGACTAATTCAGGTATATGGCCAAACAGGAACTATTTCTCTCCAATCAACAATAGAGAACCCAGCCTACAGAAGCAGTCTCCCACAGAATCTTACGCCTCAACTCATATTACGCCCTATTCACCAAATCGCACTTCACTTAGCCCTCCAGATTTAATACCATCTGGTGAATCTCCACCATCAACATTAGACATTACTTCACCTGCCATGAGTAAGAGACTGATTCCTGAACCCAAATCGCCTCTGACTTTGACTCCTCCAACAAAGGAGAACCTAAAGTCTTTATCTGCCAATGAACTTTTCGCAATTATCCATAATTCCAAAAAGAAACTTAATATAAAGACTGATTCAGATAAATCTATGTCCCCCATGTCTTCGAGATCTGTGTCGCCAGCCTTGAGCCAAAGTTCTCTCTCCAGGTTGCAGCCTGTAGAGACAGGAATTCTCTCAAGGCGAACTGACGTCAACTCTCCGAACGTGTGCAATAGCATGTCTTCCCCTGCAACTAAAAGACTGAATGCTCTAGAGAAACCGGCAACCAAACCAACCAGTATGCGGGACTTTAAAATGCTGCTCTTGCAAGCTAGAACAGGGAGCACGAATGGCAATTCCCGGCCATCTGCAGCCGAATTGCTTAAGGTATCACCGCCAAAAAACTCGCCAGGATTATCGAATATCAGCTATAAATCACCCACGCCTTCACCTTTAAAAACGCCAAGCAACTCATTTATTTCTTCTAATCCTAATTACTCTCCGGGACATGGAACTGTGCCTACAAAAAGGATTATGAGGACTAGGTCGCCTTATTTATCTCGTTATGATTCGGCATATCCACCGATTATCGAAGATTGTTCAGAAGAAACTGAGTCCTATGATGTTGTGAGTGAGTGCCTTAATTCAAGTCCAAAGTACTATTCTACAAGCAGTCATGATACTATTACTAAACCCTCACCTGCAAAAGCTACTAGTACATGGGTTTAGTAATGATGTAAATATATTTTTAGAGATAGATTCTATGAATTGTATTAATTTATTAGTTTGTTTTCATACTAACATAGTTTTTTTTTAATTTTTTTTTCTGTGAATCTTATGGTTGTCTTGGGAAAATTTTGCAATAATTTGTTGTGGGAATATGAGCTAGATATTTTTGCGGTGATTCATTTGCTTTTCGGTACTATTTTCATTGCAAAAATGATAGTTCATTAGCCTATGGGTAAATTCACCATTTATGATTCTCGTATTTGCAGACTTTAAAATCATAGAATACAGTTAAAAAATTTCAGCAATTCTGATAATTTTTGTGAAAATAAGTAAATTAGTCTAATTGGTGTCATAAGCACTTACTCCAATATTTAGCAAGTTTCATTAGCTTAAAAAAACTTAATAAACTAGAAACTGGGTGTTACGGACGCAACACAATATGTTACGTCTATAACAGCATATTTTTAATTTTTTTTAAAAAATTTTATATATAAAAGTATTTGGAGTGAGTATAAATTATACCAAGACTTACTTTCGCAAAAATTATTAGAACACTCTCGGAAATAAAACGCTCACTTTTGACAATTCAGTAATCCTTGAGCTGTATTTCGTTAATTTTGAGAATCATTTCGTCACGAAATCACGTGATTTGTGACGAAACGAGGATTCTTAAATATACTACGCAAATGTTTTCTGAACTCGGAACTTCATCGCCTTGGGTAATTGTTAACTAGACGATCGAAACTAGAATGACGAAATATTTCTTTTCTTTTGACGAAATTCGTTCCCTCTAAGAAGTGACGTTTGTTATTTCGTCACTTTGACGAAATATTCGCTCGGAGCATGTACCAGGAAACGGTTTTGTCGAAAAACGGAGAAAGTTTCGTGAAATTTGGGTATCCATTTTTTACAGCGAACAGCACGAATTTTATAATTGTGCTATAAAACTTTAAAAGTGAAAATACGACATTCGTAAATGGTGGAATTGCTCTGATGTTGTGAGTTTTTTTTCTTTCTTTTCTCCTCAGATGACGTTATTGGATTCATTTTTTGCTTTTCATAATTTTCACTTAAACCATTAACTAAGCTATAGTAAGTACAGTAGAACCTCGCTAATCCGAACTAATTGGGATCTTTGCCTTAAAGTTTTTAATTTCACAGTCGTTTGGCAAATTTGTACAAAATATTTTTTTTGTCAAGCACAGATGAAATAACATATATCTATTTTAGAAATCTTTCAGATTGATTGTACCATTCAAAGATTTTTAACTGCATAACAAATCAAAATAGACTGATTTTATATGATGTTATAATCTTTAAAAACGAAGACTGGTTATTTCGATAACTCAAAACATAGTCACGAACTATTTTTTATAGAAAATGTTTACACTAGTTTGAATGTCTAATAAACGAAAGCTTTTTGCCCAACTCAATGCCTTAAAACAATTGTTAAATGAATTTTTGTATTTAATTATTATGTCATTGGATTGGCCTTAAGGTATTTTAAACAAAGTTATATACATGTTTGATGAGTAATTCATACTTTTAGAATTACAAAAAAATCAGACTGAACCATGCTTGCCAACTTTTGCTATTAACGAGACTGATTTTATAAAGTGGTAGTGAACGGGAATTGAATTAAAGAATTTAAAAACAAACAAACAAGGTCTTAGACAGATCACTCAACAACTACATATAAGACTTTTATGTATGTGCTGTTTTTCGAAAGCTCCATCATCATATGAAATTATGCATTTTTTTGCAAATAATATGCTACTTTTATAACTGCTGTGAGTTTGCAACTGTTAGGTCGAGTTTAGTCTATCTAAAGCCAGCGATGTCTATGCTCATCGGGAAAATGGCGCAAAACGTCAATATGGAGAAAAAAAATTTATTCAAAAACTTACTACAATGGTGCATTATCTGCCAAATTGGCGATTTTTAAAAATGTTTAATAACTTTTATAATAGTTAAGTTATTTGTCTGTACTAAAGCACATATAATTCTTCACGGCAAGATTATATATATACATAATTTAAAATCATCGCATTGTTTCAAGCGTAAGGCACTAAAACTATGGCGTTTTTATTTTCCTTGGCGACAAAGCTTCGAAAAACAGCGCTAAAAAAGACGGCCTGAATACGTCAAAACCTGTTTGACTGCTGTAGAAAAGGGCATAAAGTTAAAGCAGTAAAATCAGGCAATAAAACTGGTTTTGATTTTTTTTTTTATCTTGAGCTTAGAACTCAACAGATTTCAATAACTTTCTGTGCTTCCCTCCTCTAAATACTAATTTGTGACATCTAACTTCTTTACTTTTTTTACTTCATTTTTGAAAGAAGAATCTAAATATATATGTTAAGAGCGGTCGTTGCAAGATACCCTGTAAATCGAAAAACTTGTCAGAAAACATATTAAGGAAATTATAGCTAAATAAACCTTGTATAATTTTGCAATGTAATATTTTTAAAAACAGTATTTAGAACTTGATTATTGTGTTGAAGGTTTTGAATGCATTTACATTCCTTATTTATTTTGTGCTTAATAAATATTATTAAAAAAATTAATGTTTCTGTTTATTTTTGATGCCAAGAAGTGTAACCTAAAAAAATCATTGGGTATTTTTGAGTTTTCACTTGATAACACCATTATATACAGAAATATCTAATTACCTACATAAAGTTTTTTTTTGTAATCATCAAAACTACTTTCCTAAGTAAAATTGAAAGTGTGGCTTACAATTATGTTGTCTTCAGCCTTTTCATATGTAATCATATAGTCAGTGATTAGAAGTATATGGTCACTACCCAGTTAGCAAAATAAGGTTTATTTTCACTCAACAAAAACCTTTTAATGTAAACCTAAAAAGGTTTGCAATACGGTTTACGTGTAAACCTTATAACCTTAAAACGAGATCTGTGACAATTTTCTCTATTCAACCCACATTACCCTAATCCAGAACCCTGAAAAACAACCTTCTATATAAAAACCTTAAATCGAGGTTGACTTAGGGTTTTCATGCGTGAAAAAAATCCTTTAATAAAGTTTGTGTCAAGGTGAAAATAATCTTAAATGTAGGTAATTATAAGGTTTATTTTCGCAAAGTCTTGGTAGGCTCTGATAAAATCCACCTTGCCATGAAACTTTAATGGACGATGCAATTCGATCCTATCGCGAGTGTGACGTCATCTAAAACGTCATTATGGACCTAAAAGTGACAATACTTTTTCAAAAAGCTTTGAAAAATAATTGCTAATTCTTTTAAGATGAAAGGTTTGAAACTGAAATAAGGTTTGAAAAAAGGTTTTTAGTACAAACCTTTTCTTGACAATAAAAAGAAAACTCCGACACAAGAATCCAGTATAACTAATATATTAATAAAATGTGGAAGTCGAGGGACGGAAAAAAAAATGTATTTGAAGAGTTTCAGATGACAAGAACTCTGAATACAAAAAAAATTCCTCAAGAATATTTGAATTAAAAAAATTTTACAAAATGAATACAAAACGTTTAAAATGGAAACTATGTTTAATCTACATCCTTTCATTTGAATTTAATTCCAAAACTAGATTACTGCAGTAAATGTCAAAATTGAAGAAAAAAAACCAGGGGAGGATGTCTTCTTAAGTAAGCATTAACGTAAGTAACATACTTTCTTAAGCAAGCATGGGAGGGGAAATTGCAAAATTTTCTAATTTTGCCCTATATCTTCGCATGCTTAGGTTAACAATCTCCCGTCATTATTCAAATTTAAGAATTAAATTCAAATCAAAGATGTCCATCTTTGAATAAAACAAAATGGGCCCTTGTTTTTTTATTCCTTCTATAAAATTTTAAGTTGAATATTCCTTAGGAATCTTTTGAGTTCAAAACTGCTGATCTCTAATACTTTTTATTAATTTTTTTTTCTTTTTCTAACTTGAAATTTTATTCCAAATTTAAACTTTTTTTTTGTGTGAAATTTCTTGCTGCATTTTTCACTTTAAGTAATTGTAATATTTTACATGAACATAGCTCATACTCTGATTGTCAGTAAAAATAAGCAAATCACAAACTTCACCCTCCCCCCTGCCAGGAGCTAATGCATAACTATCAACATGGATAGGAAAAAAAATCCAGTAGATTTTACAAAATAATATAAATTTTATGATAGCTGTTGCATAATGTACTAAATATTTTACACATAGGGATTTTTATAGTTACCTAAATAGAAAAATTGCAATATTTCCCAGTTATGAATGACATTCAACATACTTGAAATGCTATGTATTATACTCATAATTTCGAATACTAAAAGGCATTTTAATTCAACAAAGATAGTTAAAAGATTTTTTTAAATTAATTTAATAAAAGCAAACTGAACATTTTATAACAAAAAAAAAAAAAAAAAAGCTTTGAACTGAATTCTATAAAAAGAGGCTCACTTCATTATGTATTAGTAATACTTATTTAAATATTCAAGCAATAATCTGTACAAAAATTCTATTTCAATAGGGATTTTTTTTAGGAAACTTACTGAATTTTAGAGAATTTTCTGAAATGCGCAAAAACAAGGAGAATTTTAATTAAACCAGTAGAAACTTGAAAAATCCAGTAGTCTTCTGGAAAATCCAGTAGAGTTGGCAGCTAAGCTAATGTAATATTTGAGCAGTAATGTAATACTGAATTTTAATTAAACCAGTAGAAACTGGAAAAATCCAGTAGAGTAGTTGGCAGCTAAGTTAATGTAATATTTGAACAATAATGTAATATTGAATTTTAATTAAACCAGTAGTTATTGGAAAAATCCAGTAGAGTTGGCAGCTAAGTTAATGTAATATTGAATTTTAATTAAACCAGTAGAAACTGGAAAAATCCAGTAGAGTTGGCAGCTAAGTTAATGTAATATTTGAACAGTAATGTAATATTGAATTTTAATTAAACCAGTAGTCTACTGGAAAAATCCAGTAGAGTTGGCAGCTAAGTTAATGTAATATTTGAGCACCGTTAATTCATAAGTTATGCACCCTACATTTTTAGGTCCGTCTAAAATAAGAAAAGGAGAAATTAGCTTTATACAAAGTAGTATTTGAAATATTCACCTGATCATATTTTTTTTCATTTTCTAAGTAGTGTGGGTAATTATGAAGCAGTATTACGTGCATAAAAGAAAGAGAAAATATTTTATTGTTAACAAAATATTTTTTATTTCATCTCTTACATCCACACAAGATATTTACAAGCAATTTTCTCGCATAAAACATTTATATAAAATAGCGATTAAGTATTACGTTAATCTGTACAAAATTCCAAGTATTCACAAACATTGAGAGTACATCGATGAGAAATTATTATACAAATATAAATTAGATTTATACAAAGACAACATTAAAATGGAACGGTTGTTATGTAAAAGATTTTACAAATAAACGCATGATAAAAAAATAATGAAGCAAAGGCTATGTTAAAAAAAGTTAATTTTAAATCACAACATTTACAATTCTTGGACGGAAATCTTTTTTTCATGTCAAAGCAGTTATTATTTTACAGATAAGTTGATGACGATTGCATTATAAACAAGATCACAATAACGATCAGATCTGAAGAAATTCATAAACATGAGTAATAATCGTACAATATATACATTATAATCAATGCAAATTTCATTTAAGAATTAAAATGATTTAATTCATATAATCACACTCATATGAATCATTAAAATGTAAACAATTACGGATGAAACGGGTATAGAATATTGTATACAAATAGAAAACTTTGCCACAAACACTTAGACTTGAATATACATTTATCAAATGAAGTTGCTAATAATGCATTAAGAAATATTTGTTTTTTTAATTAATGGCAAATTGAGCACTTAAATTGGGAATATTAAAAACTTGTCATTTTTTTAAAAATGTTTATAATTTAGACAAGTAAAATTTTTATTGGTCAAATTGATTATTTCATTTACAGTAAAGTACAAATTAGCAAATAATCAAACATGCAGATATTTTCTAATAACCTACATATATATAAATGTTTATGTTTTCATGTATTTCATTTGTTTTAGCAGTATATTGAAAACAAAATTGGAAATTTAAAAAAAAAGAAAAAGAGATTTAGGTGTTACAAACAAATTAATCAATCAACAGTCATCTGTCGTTTTTATTAAACCATTTTTTTTCCCCGAAGTTGCTAAAAAAATTTTTATAACCAAAAAAAAAGGAAATTAATTGCAGTAGTTTGAATAATTTGAATACATAAAATCAAAATATTAAAAAGCAGCAACCTGAGGTTTGTAAAATATTACAGAGGAAATTTACTAGAAAAACAAAGGTCATGAATTTTATTAGTATGAAATTATTTTGATCTTATTGCTCAAAAGTAGTAGGAGAGAGGAAAAAAAATTTTTTTTTTTCCATAGCAACTAAAAAAAAAAATTGTTTTTTCACATAAAACTTATCTAAATCCCATAAAAATTTTAAGAAACTATGATTTATGCTAAAAGAAAAGGACAAATTTCATTCATATTATTTGGTTAATTAGTACTCCACTGTAGTTATTCATACTTTAGCTAAAATCTTAGATTATTCTTACAAGCAAAGAAATTTTTTTTAAAATCTAATGTCTACATGCATACTAAGCTTGTAAAAAGAGCTCACAGATGATGCACAATCTCGACAATAAAATATATTTTTTTAAATATAACTAGCAAGCATTGTCAATTGCTACTAAAAAATACCGTAATAAAAAAAAAAACGAAACAGAATTTTTGTGGACTCTTGATTCTCGATGACAAACTAATTTCATAAGAAACTGGTGAATAAACAACTAACTTCAACCAGCTCAGTTTAAATGGTTAAAATAATCTTAACAAAACAAACAACTTTGTACTAAAACAAAATTTCAGTTTTCTTTCTCAGCTGAGGTGTGAGTGTAAAGTTGGTCTCAGTGGTAAGCAACCGTCTACCCACATGTTGGGACTCTCTAGCATGGATTGCCAGAGGGAGGACTCGTCTCTTCTAGAATCCATCCAGTCAACTGGTACACCATGGTACAGACCTTTAAAATAATAAAACGACACACCATTAGATACAATACACAACCCAGAAGCGATTAAGTTAAATCATTAATAACACATTTAAAAAAAAATTATATCATTATAAATTTAAATCACTGATATTTTCAAAACAAGAAACTCTAAATAAATTATATGTAGAATGATGTTATATGTAAAGAGATGCCAAGTATAAATTCTAGAACTAATATTTTTAAATAAAAGATACAAGATTTTTATACAGAAATGTGATCGATGAATTCATGAAACCTTTAGACCTTGGATTTCTGGAGCACAATCATGTATGACAACAGGAGCAATGTAGTAATTCAAAAGATATCATGCACGTAATCATGTAATTAAGATTGCACAACCTTTGTTAGAGAAGGGTTAGAGTAAAAAAAAAAGTTGCTATTAAAACTGATGAGAGTAAAGCATCCATGCAACAACCAGTTGTTGATCAATGGAGTCATGGAGGTTAAGATTTGACAATGACTACACAGCGTCTTAAGGGGCCTTTTGCCTCCTGGCCTACTTAATTGTCTAAGAGGTGGAAAATTCACAGGGTGAGTAGCCAAAATATTCGACAGTTTTTGACAATTGACGGTTTTATCCTGCTTTAACCGTCACGTCAAAAAAAATCTTTTGGCATTGTTTTCGACAATTGTCAAAAATCATGCAATTTTGAATCGTGTAATACGAATGGCGTTTTCATACACTATGGACCGACAATATGCCGAAATAAATTGGGGTTGAATTAATTATGAAAACGTTGAATAGAACAATGTGAACTGTGTCCTTTTGCATAATTCGAAGTGAAAATCATAGTGAAAGAAAATCTCATTTTGCAAAAGGGAAAATTAAGTACTTTTTAAAAACACCCAATGAAAAAAGCACCTTTAAGGGCTTTTAAAAGCGAAAATCTTAAATAAGCACCTTTAAGCACTTTTTAAAAACGCTACGCACCCTGATTCAAAATATGTTTTAAATTGTTTCATTTATTGCATGTAAATACAAGGTATAAATGTAAAATACAAGGTTGTCATCCAATCGCAATTTGAGATATAAAGTGTGCAATATTTTAATTATTTTTTCACTTTTTTTTGCAACAAAATTATAGTAATACAATTCAATTAGTAATTTTGAATGGTAGTTAAATAAATAGTACACACTTGTCAATTTTCAGATCTTTGATAAATATTTTTGCCTTTAGAGAATCAATGTTAACAGTGCTGGAAGTTCAAAATATAAAAATTAAGGACACAATTTTTCTCCAAACTTAAGGACAATTTATGGATGCTGATTCTCTAATGGGAGCAATTAGTACAATATCGCCATGAGGTCGCAGATAAACAATTGGTGATAGTTTTAGTTCCAGCACTTAAGTGAGTAGCAAAATACAGGGATTCTCTAGTGAAAAACCTTAGAGTGTGATATGGGGGGAGATATGAGCTTGCTATATATTTCTCCCACATCGAATGCTTTTATGCTATAAAATCAAGAGTAACTGTCTCTAACACTGGAAATAGATTAATATCATACTTGACGAGAAATGAAGACACTACTGCTCATTTTGTTATTTACTTTGCTTCATGGCATATAACATAATGTTTGAAATTTCTTTAATTCTTTTTTAGATTTATTAATGGNAATATCGCCATGAGGTCGCAGATAAACAATTGGTGACAGTTTTAGTTCTAGCACTTAAGTGAGTAGCAAAATACAGGGATTCTCTAGTGAAAAACCTTAGAGTGTGATATGGGGGGAGATATGAGTTTGCTATATATTTCTCCCACATCGAATGCTTTTATGCTATAAAATCAAGGGTAACTGTCTCTAACACTGGAAATAGATTAATATCATCCTTGACGAGCAATGATGATATTAATCTATTCCAGTGTAACTTCACAAATTCCAGTGTTAACTTCAACAAAAATTTGGAAAATAACAAAAACAGGACATTTATTGAAATGTTTAATAATTAAGGACAGCTTTGAGCCCCCTATTTAGCCTTGTACAAATCAGTCTTAATCTGTTTAAACTCTAATAAAACAAATTTGAAAAACACATTTTTAGTTATAAATTATAAACTCATAATCAAAAATCACATAATTTTATTGTTTTACATTATTGAAAAAAAAATCTATAGACATTCTAAAAATTACTAAGCACTATTTCGTTTAATCTGATAAAGTGTTATTTTCAATCTCGCCTGAAAGACATAGAGCTGTCGAATGACACTCTATCATCAAAATCAGTCAGTTGCAAAAAGAGAAAAACTTAAAATCTAAGATGGGAAATAAAGAGGCTTCTTGAATGGAAAATTTTAGGTACTTTTATTTGTTTGAATAAAAAGGTGAGAGGATGAAGGTTCGAAGTGATTATGAATTCACTGAACTTAAGTCAATTAGCTCTCAATCTGTTATTTTTACATTGACAATAAGAAATAAAGATTATGCCTTATTTTCTGTCAGCAAGGTTTTAATTGATGAAATCTATAAATCCCTAACAATTGTTTACCCATTCAACACATACATTGTTGACATTATTAACGTTTTAATTTGATGCAAAAATACTCTTTTTAACCCATCAAGAGTTGATTTGCAGATGCACTTGGGACTTTCTTCTGCTAAAAAAAAAATTATTCACTTGGTACCATCATCCAATGACATCTCCAAAGTTTAATAATGTTTTCCTTGGGGGGGGGGATTAATATTGTAGAGCTAAATAAGAAGTAAAGCTATAGCGATTTTAATAATTTAATTTAAATCACGACTTAAATTGCATGAACTTTAAAAAAAAAAAATTAAAGGATCTAAGAAGGGATAATATATTTATATATGTCACTGACATATTATTATATAAGTCATAAAGCAACCTAAATAAAGAACATACACACATATTTTTAAGGTTGTGATATTTCTTAGAATCTAATTTCATTGATACTGTGACTGATTGACTGCCGGTCAAGGTTGACTTAGCCTTTGATCCCTTCAGTAGGTCAATAAAATGAGTACCAAGCATGCTGGGGGATTAAACACTAGGAGTTCCGAGTTTGGCTGACCACCCAAGCAGAACATCTGCTCCTGTACCCCAGAGCCCAAGGTCAAGAAAACTGAGATAGGCACAGTAGGCCTTTGAAGTATACGGAATTTAATTTCATTCATAATTAAAGGTTTTACCTAGAGAATTAGAAAAGAGGGAGGGGAAAAGAAAGCATATGCAGATTAGAATGAAGAGTAACTTTTAAATTACTATTTAGTAATAGTTGCATGTAAAATGATTAGTTATTTTACCATAAAAAAAAGATAAACATTTCAATATTTTGTTTCATTTTTATTCTGTCTAACATGCAAATTAACTATCTAGTTTTCCAATTCATGAAGGAGTTGAGTTTGAATAAATACAATCTGATTTTATTCACTTAAAGATAAGTTTGTAATAATCATAAAAAATACTAACAATTTAGCAAGGAGTATTAAGCAATTTTGTTTTAAAATTGTTGTTAAATATTATAAAGCATTAACAATTCATCATTAATGCTTTGATTATTAATGTTAATAAATCAAAAATTAAAAACATTTGAAAAATGATACAAATAAAAGAAAAATGGATATTTTTCACTTAAAAAAACTGTGATTTTTAAAATAATAAATAAAACTGAAGTATGATCTCCCAAGAAACTTTTTTTTCCAAACAGGCAACCACTAGGCTCTTCAATGATCTCAATCAGTGGTGGAAAAACTACACTATTTTTGTCGTTTACTACAACTACAATTACTGTGTTACACATTTAGTTGGAATTGTAGTAGTTAGAAATTGTAAAAACTACTTCACTACTTTAAAGAGACGAACTTACACTAAGTGTAAGGAAATAATTAAGAAATATTTATTCATGTTTACATGAGCCAGTTTGTTATTCCAAAACATTTTTTTATAATTTTTTCAGTTGACCTTCAACTTTTTCTGCCTTTTTCAAAGGTGAATATATTATTCAAGAAGTGCAAAATTATTAAATACTTGAAATTTTTTAACAGTTTAGTGCTCTTTTATTTCCTCTAAAAAAATTAAGTAATGTGTTGCGAGGAGTAATCGACCATGTCAACGTATGAAAAGGTACCCCTACATAGAGTCGAGTTAACATGTCTTATATACCAGTGAATTGTAGTTGTAATTTTGTAGTGGTAGATACCCTACAGTACTCTCCCACTAGAATTATATCTGTGATAGAATTCGATGAATGAATACCACTAGTTGATTCATTGCTGTTTTGTGAGAAGCCGGAGAGCTGTATTAAGATCACCGTATTTTTTGAATGCTGAATGTGAGAGGCGTATTAACATCATGGTCGTAGTCGCTCCTCTGTTGCCGTTAGCAGTCGAGTAATCACAAGTATGCAAGCCGACGTTGTGCGTGATCGAGATGAAACTGAGTAGCAACAGTGCGAGGAGGTGGATAATGTTGCAGTCACAAGTAAACTGTTCAATGAAGATCATCCATCGAAGTAGGCGTTACTGTCTAGGTAGGCGTGCTCATATCGAAGTAGGTGTTACTGCCAAGGTAGGCATGTTCATATCACGTCCGAAGATCACCAACGTGGGGAGAGTAGTTACAGACCATGTCAACCGTCATTTATGAAAAGGTACCCCAACTGTCTTATATACTAGTGAATTGTAGTTGTAATTTTGTAGTGGTAGATACCCTACAAAGTACATCGAAAATACGTTTCCTTCCTTTTAAATAACATCAATGCTTCACGAGTGCACATTCCCATGTGAAAGTTTGATAAAAGTGATTAACAATCTATTTCTCGTAATGGCTAGTGTAAAGATTACTTATACCCGATTCTAAGTACGTAATTCCTGTTAACGCTCAGCTATAGCCACAGTTAGTTATTTTCACTGCATCGTTGCTAGTAGTTTCCTGCATCGTTAAAAGTAGTCTGCATCGTTAAAAGTAGTCTGCATCGTTAAAAGTAAAAATTTTCACTGCATCGTTAAAAGTAGTTTCCAGGAACCATTACAAACTACTGTTCTTTGTATCACACTACTCACAACACTAAAAACTACAAAAAAAAAGCGGCTACAGTAGTTTCATTATTTGTAGTGCGTTTCTTCCGACCACTCATCTCAATGTATCAAAAGAATAAGTTATAGCAATCATTCTGACTACTCACCCGAGCCAGTGTTGAGTCTGACACCACCCAGAAAGTGATTGCTCGTGATCTTGTCGTAATCCCAGACAGTGAGTTCTAGGCTTCTCTCCCTTAGATCGTCCACGCTCAGATCTTCATAGATGACCGTGTAATACCACTTGGGGTGTCTGCTCTTCTTCACAATGGGTGTCTTCTGTTTACTACTTTTGCTCTTGTCAGGCAAGAGATAACTACAATAAAACAAAAACATCAGGCAAACTCTTGACATGTTTAAACTTAATGAGTTATCACTGCAAAAATATTTAATTCAAACAAAAACACAGCTGCCAATAAATGGCAAAATCAACGGTATTCACGAACGACAAAATATAAAAATCAGTAATTAAACAATTTCTCGCCAACCCCCACTTCTTCGTTGAAAACGCATGAGAAATGCGCCATATAAAAATATTTTGAATTAATATAGAATTATTATGAATAATTTATAAAATACTGAAAACATATTTCACAATTGTTTTACAAATTTCTTAATTCTTAATAGGAACCTTGTATTGTTTACCATATTTTGAGAAATGTTTCGATTAAATATGACTTAAATTATTAATAAACAGCTTTTTAATTGTTTCAAATTTTAAAATTTTTGAAAAAATGGCCATTGCTAAAAATGCTACAATATATCACCGGCCAGTAACAAAATGTTCTAATTTTGCCCTATAACTGATAACAAGAAATTAAAAATTATAAAACTCCAGATTTTGTAGTAAAATAAGAATCGCTCAGTATCAAAGATTAAAACTTGTTTCATTTTGCCGATAAATTCTATTTCTTATACATTTTAAAAATAGTAATATTTTCGTATATGGAGCAATACGTTTAAATAATAATGATAACATTAAAGATCAAATTTAGTTAAAGCACTATAAAATAATAATACTTAAAGACTATGAATTTGGAATAAATTTGTGATAACAAAAAAAATTAGAATCAGGGCCTGATTAAGAAAATAAACTGTTAAGAGACCCCTCGTTACTACTCTAAACAAAATTTACCTATAGTTTAATTATGAAGTGTTTAAAATTATTTATAACGTAAGTAAATTATGATAGATTAGTAAATTGGAGCTTAACTCATAATTCCACTAGCTTAATGAAAAATACAAAAAGAAATTATTTGTAACATTAGGGGTCCCAGGCCTGGGCTTCTCAGGCCTTATGATAAATCAGGTACTGGTTAGATTGCAATCAGAAAAGAAATACATAATGAACTTAAAATTAAAAAAAGCAAAACAAAGCTTTACATGTCATACCTGGCAACTTTCACTCTTTCTAAGAATGGATTTTCAGAGTGGTTGTAAAACAATAAACGAAAAACAATCTGACTCAAAAATACATTTATATTCTGATCCCATTGAAATTCGCTTCCGCAAGGATTATTATGCTTTCATATATTTATTGTAATTATTTATATGTAGTGGTGGTCAAACTCATTTATAATTATCATTATAATTCAAAAAGTTAATTGGAATAAACTGAGTATTGCTACCACTTTAAATATGAAAATAAAATCTTCCGGAAAATCATGAAGAGTAGGCAGGTATGACATATGACCCAAATAACAAAAGGATATTAATTAAAAGATCTTGAAATCATTTGAACAATATTCATGAATTTAATAAATTACAGAAATTTTATAAATTCCAAAACAATTCATATTAAATGTAACAAATTAAGGATGCTTGTTAAAAATGCACTATATAGGAACAATTGATAAAAATTAATGGTACCTAATAAAAATAGCACAAATAAGGTACTTGATAAAAATGTATAATAAATTAATGACATGCAATAAAGAGTAACAAACAAAAGGTACTTGATAAAAATAAATAATAAATTGATGGCACTTAATAAAAACTATCAAATTGAAGGTTCTTGATAAAAATGTATAATAATTAAAAGACACTTTATAAAAAATAATAAATTAAAGGTACTTGATAAAAATGCATAGTAAATTGACACTTCATAAAAAGTAACAAATTAAAAGCACTCGATAAAAATGCAATTAAGGGCACTTCATAAAACTGTCATAAATAGAGGACACACTATATAAATGTAAGTAATTCGAGAGCAGATAAACTTTAAGCGTAAAAGAATGCAGTGAATACCTTTTGCAGAAGGCGTCAAGAGGGCTGCTGCTGTTGTTGGTGGAGATATTTCTGGCCTCCTTCACAAGAACGTGAAGGGCACCTCTCACAGAGATGACAGGAGCAGGTCTGAAACGGGACTCTAGACTCAAGTCCCTTGGCACATATTTCAAGGCGATGAATAACTCGCCTCGGTAGTTCAAGGGGCTCGTCAGAGACTCAGCCTGCAATCATATATAATTACAATTTCAAAAATAAAATTATATCTATTATGAAGTATGACAAAAAAAAAAAAATATGAGAAAAATCATACATAAAAAAAAGAGTACAAAGTAAGAATACAAAATTGATTTCAAAAATTTACTTTTAGGTTTCATTTTTAGGAATTTTTAGGTTTAGTGACTTCCTAAAGTCTCTTGAGAATAAAAACATTTAAAAAAAGAATTATAAATCTGTTTTCTTTTTTTTATCATTTATTTTATAAACTGCTATTATTTTATATATTATTATTATTTTATACATTATTATTTTCTAAATTTTGATATTAGAAAAACTAGTTTTTTTTAAAATCATGTTTCCATTAAATCCAGTAGATTTTAAAACATAAATATAACTATTGCAATATCCAAAAAAGAATGAAGCAAAACTGATTCAAGAAACATTGAGATTGATAGATAAAACTTACAACTTCACACAAATGAATTACTAAATGATTCAATAAGAAACCTCATTTAAAAATGCACACTGCTAGCATCCCGACTTCAATCTTTATCAATTCAATAACTTAAAGTATCTTTTAAACAGTTTTTACACAATCTAAAAATGTGTGCGACAGAAAATTTTGGTTCTGTTGCTTACAATATAATCGCAAATATTGCTAAAAAAAAAAGGAAATGATTTTTATAAAAAGAAGAACACAATAAAAAGCAGAAAATTGCAGATCTCTAGCTTGAGTGGTAAGTTAGCATACCAATAATACAAATTTAATAACATAAAATTTTTTTTTTTAATTTTAGTGCAAAAGATAATCATCCTTACCCTTTCTTGAAGGGGGTACCACCTGAGTGTAGGAGAATCAAGCAGACGATAACCAAGTGGCAGTGAAATTTCCCCTAAGAAATCATTCCTACCAAATAGATCACTATTCCAGACAGTAAGCCAAAGAGTTCTTGATTCTAGTTCATTTTTTAAAACTGGAAACTAAAAAACACAGAAAATAAATTAATAAAAGCAACAAAAAAAAGTAATTTTTAGTATTTTGCAATTTATAAATTTTTTTTCTTCTTAATAACTACTTTTACCACATAATTTTTCTCTAAATACACAATGATGTTAAGAGCATGAGTTAAATCATTTTTAAATTATGCTATAAAAATATTTATCGTATTTTTAAATAAAATAATAGTTGAGTTAAGTTATAGCTACATATGGACCTCGCAATGCAGAAATAAATTCACAATAAAAGATGGTGCAATATATTCGAAAGCTTTGAAAAATCTTTTTTAGCATGAATTGGTTAAAAATAGTAATTATAATAGTATATAATTTGCTCTGTAAATGTAAAGGAAATTTTCCCTGTTAAAGGAAATTTCCTTACAGTGAATTTTTTTCTTTAATGAAATTCTTAATTGGAACATCAAATAGCATTAAAAATATTCTCCAGATAATGAAGTAGTTTTTTATTCCTTATAATAGAGAAATACATGTAGTTTCAATTATAAATTAGTAATATTTTGTTTCAGAGCTGATACGATTTCAGTCGTGATTAAAACTGAAATGAAAATATTTTATTTTTTTACAGAAAGCATTGATGTAAATCAATTTGATCCCTTTTTAATAAAAAAAAATTTCTTTAGTTACATCATTTGACTTTTTTAAAATAGATAATTAAGTTCAAGATATTTTTATACAATAAAACATATTCCTTACAGTATGATTTTTTTAAAGTCTGATTTCAGTGATAACACATATTTTATCCAAGGAAAAATGAAAGGGGTATTTATGTAAATTAACATATTTCAAACAGACTAATAAATAAATAAATAAATAAGAGAGACTAAAATTGAATAAGAGAGGCTTAAAACTTTTAAATTTTCTATTAGTTAATAAAATTTTCCATAGACAAATTGAAAGAGTTACGATACTTGAAAAAGAAAAAAATATATACCCTTAATAGCTCATTGAAAACAGGATTGAGAGTATTCTTTTTAGTTTTTGTTTTTCTTTTTCCGCTTCTTGTTTTATCAGGTAAAAGATATACTTTTACATACCTAAAAGAAAATAAAAAAATTTCAAGAAAAAATAACAATAAAATTCACTAAAGGGTAAAAAGAAATATATCTGTATAGTGATACACTGCTAAAGTGATAATTTTAAATTTGTAATACATACGGATTAGATTTATTATTTCTTGCGTCACTGGCAGCTAAATTTCGGCACTGTTTCACAAAGACCTCCATCATTTGAGACTTTTGGTTGTAATTCAGACCAAAGAGAACATCACCACTTATTGTAACATAGCCATAGTGACATCCACCTGCACTATATACACTAGTCATACTAGCACTATGAGACTGTAAAAATTAATTAAATTTAGTACCCACGATATTAAATTATACATAGTAAACAGATCTTATTCAATAAAGGTTAAAACACATGATATTCTGAATGATATTCCCATTAACTGAAGCAATCTTGAAAAATAAGTTAACCGCCAAAACAAGTCATGAATTAATTTTTTTATATACTGTAAAATTTACTAAAATTTCACTCATAAAAATTTTAAAAAACTGAGAATCTGGCAGTGATTTTGAAAATTTTTTATCTAGATGAAAAATTATTGCTAATTTGGCGATTTTTAAAAAAGTTTAATAACTTTTAAGATATTTAAGTTATTTGTCTGTTCTAAAGGCCAGATAATTCTTCGCGGCAGGATTATATAATAGTTTAAAATCATCGCATTGCTTCAAGTAAAAGGCACTTAAACTATGGCTTTTTTTAAATATTTTCCTTGGCTACAAAGCCTCGAAAAACAGCGTTAAGGTTCAAACGCAAATATTTAAATTGCTTCTGTATTACAGTACATTAAACTATAAGGGTTGCTACAACATAGAAAAATTTAAAACTGGTAGGTAAGAACTTCTTCAAAGCTACTAAAAATGTTTACGCTCAGATTTCATTTCGCACTATTATTCTGTTGCCCTTTTTTTACTTAAAATTCTTTTGAATATTTTAATTTAAATAAATATATAAAAATTTCTTAAATTTGCTACCACTTTAATTAATTTCCAGACCATAGATACCCTGTCTATCTTGTTAACAACTAAACACTAAAAATAGAACACTTTTGTTACAACTTTCTTAAATTGTTGAAAAAAAGGTAGTCACTGTCCTTTCATCCATTTAATGCGAGGTAACAAAAGGTGATCCTAAAAATTTTATTTCTGTTGTGCCGAAAAAACAACAAACATACTTAGGTTTGTCTATGATTTTGATGATTTTTATCTGGATGAAAAATTATAGCCAAATTGGCGATTTTTAAAAAAAATTTAATAACTTTTAAAATATTTAAGTTATTTGTCTGTTCTAAAGAGCAGATAATACTTCATGGAAAAATTATATATATAGCTTAAAATCATCAAATTGCTACAAGTGTAAGGCACTTTAACCATTACTTTTTCCCCCCTTGGCAACGGAGCTTTGAAAAACAGTGTTAACACCAAAATGTGTTTAAAGCAAAATTAATTTAAAGCATTAAAATTAAAAATGCAAGTTAGATTTAAAAGATTTAAGTTATTATAACTATGTCTAAAGATGTAAAATTTATATAAAAGGCTCTAATTCTTTTGCGATAAGCATCTTTTTACAGTAATTTGTGTGTGTTTGAGTACATAAATTTCAATTTCAAAATATAAAAGAACCGTAATTTATATAATATCAGCTAATTAATAGACAAAGAAAGTGATAATTGAAAAGGGAAAGACTTACACCAAGGGAAAGAACACTTTGGCTGCCAGAAAAGTATCTCCTGGCATCCACTTCATCATCAACATTCATTGAGTTATCAGGATCGTTTTCTGAATACAAGCCTAATGCAGAGTATGACTAAAAAAAGAAATATATCAGGTCAGAACTAAACAAATACACATAAAAACAGAATACAATAGGCTATCTCACAAAAAATTGATAATCAAAATGGTAATGAAAATCTATGACTAATGTAATTTGATCATAAAGGACTATGCTAATCATTTATAAAAGCTCTATGCTACGTGGGAAAGAATAATTAAATTTCAGTTTACATCGACTAAAAATCCAGTACAGTATAAATGCTTATAGTACATGTATAATTTTTATTCAGGTTTTAGCATATTTAGTAAATAAATGGCTGTAAAAAACTAAATTTTAATTTTTTAAGTAATCATCTTAAGTAAACAACAGAAATTAAAAAAAAACAAACAGACCTAAACATATTTTATTAAATATTTACGCATAATAGGATCTCCATTATTTGAAGTAAATGGGAATAGACATCAAACCTAGTTCAGATAATTGAGATACTATAAAGTATGTAACATTGCTTTTAAAGATATATTCAACAATAAAAACTCTGAAAAATCAATATTTTTTTAACAATACAGTTATAAAGTACATGTTTAACCTTAATTTTATTATGACCATTTTAAAAAAGTCCTTTCATCAAATAGAAAAAAAAATGAAGGTAAGATGGGGGGGGGAGGACAAAACTAAGCGCACGATTTAACAAAAAGCTTCAGCGTGAATTTTGGTTAATAGAAGTCTAGTTGAAAGAAATATAGGTAGTCAAAGTTCAACTGTGTAAAATATTTGAATGAATTCTATTTTCTGGTTTTCCCTTTGATCAGGGACTGCCACAACAACTACAGTCTCTAAGGTGCCAAATGGATTTTAAACTTGCACATTTAAAAAAAAAAAAAGAGACGAGTAGAGGTTTGCCTGGGTGCGGTTACGAGTTTGTGGTTTCAAGTTTGNCCACTTCATCATCAACATTCATTGAGTTATCAGGATCGTTTTCTGAATACAAGCCTAATGCAGAGTATGACTAAAAAAAGAAATATATCAGGTCAGAACTAAACAAATACACATAAAAACAGAATACAATAGGCTATCTCACAAAAAATTGATAATCAAAATGGTAATGAAAATCTATGACTAATGTAATTTGATCATAAAGGATTATGCTAATCATTTATAAAAGCTCTATGCTACGTGGGAAAGAATAATTAAATTTCAGTTTACATCGACTAAAAATCCAGTACAGTATAAATGCTTATAGTACATGTATAATTTTTATTCAGGTTTTAGCATATTTAGTAAATAAATGGCTGTAAAAAACTAAATTTTAATTTTTTAAGTAATCATCTTAAGTAAACAACAGAAATTAAAAAACAAAACAAAAACAGACCTCAATATATTTTATTAAATATCTACCTACGCATAATAGGCTCTCCATTATTTGAAGTAAATGGGAATAGACATCAAACCTAGCTCAGATAATTGAGATACTATAAAGTATGTAACATTGCTTTTAAAGATATATTCAACAATAAAAACTCTGAAAAATCAATATTTTTTTAACAATAGAGTTATAAAGTACATGTTTAACCTTAATTTTATTATGACCATTTTAAAAAAGTCTTTTCATCATATAGAAGAAAAAAATATTTTAGCTTAAAATCATCATTTTTACACAGCTCTTAACATCAACTCTATCTTACATAAACTTTCACAACATATTGTTGAAAAAGAAGGTAAGATGGGGGGGGGGACTAAGCACATGATTTAACAAAAAGCTTCAGAGTGAATTTTGGTTAATAGAAGTCTAGTTGAAAGAAATATAGGTAGTCAAAGTTCAACTGTGTAAAATATTTGAATGAATTCTATTTTCTGGTTTTCCCTTTGATCAGGAATTGCCACAAAAACTACAGTCGCCAAGGTGCCAAACGGATTTTAAACTTGTAAGTTTAAAAAAAAAAAAAAAAAGACGAGTAGGGGTTTGCCTGGGTGTGGTTACGAGTTTGTGATTTCAAGTTTGTCTCATTTAGAGATGTTCTTATTTTATTACATTCTTGATGATCTTTTGGCGTAAATCACAGAAATCATCCCTAAGAAAATTTCTGCTAATGCCCTTGATCTATCATTATCCTATATATATATATATATTTCAGTCACAATTTTTACACAACAATAGAATATATTGGATACATATTGGACATTTATTTTTTCCTGTACATTATGTTTCATTAAAAATTATGTACATGATGAGAAAATGAGTAAATAATATTTTTTTCCACAAATGATGACTTTTTTAAAAAGTTTTTGCCAGTGAATAAAAAATTTACAAGCATACAAAATATTACAATAAATAATTATGAGTAAAACACTTTTTGAATAACAGATTATTTTACAAAAATTAATTGCAAGTTGGACAAAATGTGAAAATTTCAAACGTGCCATATACAATCACATTAAAAAATATGTATACTAATTCAGGACTTTCCTACATTTTAACATTAGATGAAACTGGCCTTGGTAAACAAACATCAAACTCTAAATATAAGTTACACAAGACATTTCAAACATAATAGGATATCAGCATTTAAAATTTTGTTTTTAATCAAATGAAATCAAATAAAAAGTACACTTACATCACCAGGTTTACAAGCAGCATTTAGATGAGGCATGGAAACAGCTCCAAATAGCTCTTTATCATTTTCAACAGAAGTAGTTTTGGCATACTTTTTTAGATATTTTGCAGGGATGGTAGAATCAGAAGTCTGGGCCTCACTACCTAATAATTAAAAAATAAATTCAATAAAAAAAAAAACGTTAATCTTTAACAATATCAAAGGTTAAATCCATTCAAAAGTTTATTCTACCAAATGAATTTATAGAAAAAATTCATTATATTTTTTTATCAGTTTCAATATGATATTTTGTAACAGTTATCATTAGCTTTTTTTTTTAAAAAAAATAGCATTTAACAAGATATAATTATTTAATTTGAACCTTGAAATATTTATAATTCAGTTTAAAAATAATGTAAGGAATTATTTTTTAAGTGTTATAAAAAAATTTCAGAATTATATTCAAGATAATTTAATTTTATTTCATTAACTTGGTACAGGAAATTAACAACCTTTTTCCCTTAAAATAATTTTTTAAACCTGTACAAAACATAAACAAAAGGAGACAGTAAATACTTTATAGTTATAAAAAACAAATCGGCAAATTATCACCAAGTAGATAAGATCTTTATCAAGGTTATCGCTAATACATAACATACATCTGTATATTTAAAAGTTGATAGATATAGCTATTTAAAATATTTATAATACACATGCAATTTTTCTAAATGTGTATTTTTAAACTAATAATAGTCTACTTATGACATCAATGAAGCAACAAATAATTCCTGAAAAATCCTGATATAATTTTATTATTAATTAATAATATTGAATCTTCAATTAAAATGCTTTATTTTGTAAACTTTTTCTCTTTTTTTTCTTTTGTAAAAAGAATATTATTAATTAATAATAAAATTAATATTTTTGTTATCAATTTTATTATTAATTAATAATATTGAATCTTTAATTAAAATGCTTTATTTTGTAAACTTCCTTTTTTTTTTCTTTTGAAAAAAGAATATTATTAATTAATAATAAAATTAATATTTCTGTCATTAATTTTATTATTAATTAATAATATTTAACTGTTTACTAAAATGTTTTATTTTGTAAATATTTTTTTTTCTTTTGAAAAAAGAAAGAAAATCTATAAATAATTAATGCTGTTGAGTTTTTCTCACACAATTTAGCCCATCCTGGAGAAAATTAACTTTTAAAAATGTGAAATTCGAAGAGCAGGTGCAAAATATACAATAAAATTGTCTTAATTTCTTTGAAAAATGATCCGACATCAAATTTACACTACAATTTGTATATAATTTAATGTTGACATACAATTAAATACATAAAATTGACAAGTTATTTAAGTTATTAAGTTGCCTTGGTTACAAGAGATGAGTATTTTTATTATTTTAAAGTGAGCATTTGAAAACGCAGTTCCTATTAAAAGCTCATATGTATTTTGTAAAGAAATAAATATAATACTTAAAAACCATACCTTATTGTTTACATTTGAGAATATTCTTTTGTTAATAGATCATTTTTATACATAATTTTCTTTGAATATTTATCTTTTACATTGCAATTTTCAATTTTGCAGTAACCTTATTCTTTCTATATTTCAGTTTTTCATGTATTTGACAATTATTTTAAATTTCCATTAAAAATAAAGAAAGAAACATTTAAATGGCATTTCCAGTTTTTTAGAGATTTTTTTTTCCTTTCTTTTGTAAAGTTGGGGAATTTTACTTTATTTTTCAATGTCATTTTTTTCTTGTTGCTTTTTTAGGTCAATTTTAGAACAGTCAAATCGGGACTACTATAGCAATAAGTAATACAATATTTTAGGTAAACAAATGCTTTTTTAATTTTGATGTATAGAAAAGGTATATAGATAGCAGGGTTGAGATTTTTTAAATGAAAGAAGCTAGACAAAATGGAAGATACAAAAAATGGCCAATAGAATTGTTTAGTGATAAATATTATAAAAATAGTTAAAATTTAAATAAATAAAATTTAATATTCTGCTAGAAAGTTACAAGTTTTTCACACATTTATTTGGGAAAAAAAATCTATTATTTATTTCAGGTTTATACTGAATATTAAAATTTATGTTGTACATCATAAAATATAATATTTTTAATTTAAATTAAAATTATGCTAATTTTCCTAAAAGAAATGTGAACACTTATATCTACATGATTATATATATTTTTATACTAGACATTTTGTTCTTATAGCGTATGATATCTATATAACTTATATACATATACCGTATAATATAACGTATATATATGCATAAATAACTTATAATTATTTAAAAAAACATTACTTAGAAAACTAATTAAGAATGTTCATTTAAAAATAATTAGTAGATAAGATATTTTTCAACTGATTAAATTTTTTCCCTGATTTTTTTTTATTAATATAAATATATTTTTAGTGACTTTAGATACTAAGTTTGTTAGTACTCAGGGAAACAAGTTTTTCTTTTTTTTTTGAAAATATATGCATATATTATCAAACCATAAAATAAGAATTAATTTCGTACTGAAAAGTTAGAATTGATGTAAATCCTAAGCAGGATACTTATAAGCTGTCAAATGTGAAAACTTTTACTTCTCTATGACACGTTACACTCATAAAGATCTTTAAATTTCTTTTTTTCCTATAAGCAGCCTATATATGAATAAAAAATGCCCTTTAAAATGTTTACTTTTTCATAGCTTTCAGTTCATCGTGTTAAAAAGACTTTACAGCATTATGAAATTTTTTAAATTCTGATATATCTATAACAATTTACAAATGAAAATTCAGTAATTAGTGAATAAAAATATGATATTCAAATTTTTTGGTATATTTTGGGAATTAATAATTTTATGAAATGAAAATATAAATTTGCTATTAAATATATCTAAAGCTTCAGCCTATAAAAGAGTTGCTTTGAGTAGTTATGAAATATTACTTGATTATGCTAATTAGTATGCTAAATAAAATTTGTTTATATAGTTTAACACAAGGACGGCAAGTTTCAATCACAGTGGGAAAAACCAACCCAGAAGAAACTCTTTCTAGTTAAGAAATATCAATATGAACAAAAATTTTAATCAGTTTATAATAGCAATCTAGTAGTGATGATAGTAATAGTGTTATTTCCAAGTAATTCACTAAATTTACAAATATATGAAAATAAAAATCAAAAATTTAAAAGAAAAATAAATTTAATAACTTTCTTAAGAAACTAAAAAAATAGTTTTCTTTCAACGACCTACAAAAAGAATTGTAGTAGAAATTAATTTTATTATTATGTAAGAAACTTTTTTAAAATATCCCAATTAAAATTAATACATTATTAAGATATACTGCAAATTACACATTGTATTTATAAATATGAACAACATACTAATTTTAATAAACAAATGTTGTTAAGTATTATTACAAATTAAAATTTTAATTTCATAAAATTTAAAGAAACTGATTTGGTTAAGTTGACTTTAAATCTTTTTTAATAATTAATCTGAGAATTGTGTATAAACCTACATGTTTTATTTTAAAAATTAAAACTTGTAAATTTTGAAATATAACTGTTAAGGTTAAGGATTTCTCTACATTTTGATAGCTTTATTGTCTTTAGCTAATTTACTAATATTATAAGTATTGGAAAAAAATTAGTCCTTGTTTTCTGATAGAATAAATCAGAAAAAATTATTTAAAAACAAAATTACAAAAAATATTTTAGCATTAAATATTTCAACCAATTGATATTTTTTTTAACAAAGTTAATTTTGAATTAATATCTTACTAAATAATATTTCTTATTTTTTAAATGATTCTATTTTTAAACAAAATACACTGGTTATCATAAATTAAGGAAAATTCACAAAAATCGCGATAACTCTTTCNTATGTACATATTTATCTTGATAGAAGGTATACATATTTATTTAGGAAAATAAGGAGAGAATAAATTTTTTTTTTATAAATTATGTGGATTTTTTTATAAAAATTAATTTTTAGAATTTCTTACTTCTTTTTTGTTGTATATAAAATTTAATTTGTTTCAAAATGGAATTATCCATTTATTGTTTATCATTAAATTCTATTGTTATTTTTAGTTTCTTCCATTTTGTCTAGCCCCCCCCCCTTTTTTTATAGGGCTTTGGAAGAAGGTTTTTTTCAGAATGAAATGCCAAATCCAGTTCTTTACCCAACTGCAAGAAATAAATAGTTGTTATAATTTCTAGTTGATTAAAATTATTCTAATTTTCTACTTTTTCCTAATTGTTGCTACTTTTTTCTGTTATTTAAAAAACAATTAATAAATGGCTTTCATGTTAACATTTTATTCAAATTAGATTACAATTATAAATTATTTAAATTCTTTTTTTTTAATATTTGATATTTCTTTTTCAGAAAGAGTTTTTTCCATTTCTTCTACTTAGGTTGAAAGAAATTCATTTAAATAAAATAGAATTTAATAAATAAAATTACAAATAAATCAAAACATAGCGTAACACATTTTATACACTTTTAACGTTTATTTGTATAGCTGAAACTCACAATTCTTTTAATGGACAACTTAAATTAATAATATCAAGATAAAAGTGCTAATTATTAATTTATTTAAGTTAAGACTTGATTTAGCAGTCCATAAAACATTCAGCTTTTTTTAAAAAAAAAAGTTAATTACATTTTTATTAAATTATAGGAAGTTATCTCCAATATTTTAGGTCAGGATGACTGGGATTTGCAGAATCCTAACCTTAACTTCAAGGTAACAAAAATTTTATCACAGCTTTTCCGGAAGAAAAAAAAAACATTGTACTAACTACTGACCGAGAGTAAGGTAAAAAAAAATTTATTTGTCAATTACAATACACCATATAATGCATTTTCAAAAGAGAGGGCATATTTTGATAAAATAGACTGCAGTTTAGAAAAACTAAATTAAGTAGGTTTTATTGGGTTTTTAAGCATAAGGCTTTTTAGGTTTTAAATTGTAATTTAATCTAATATATATATATAGCTTAAAAGGAAATTTTTATAGTAAAATAAAAATTCAAATATTGATAAAAAAAAACTTCAACTTTAATGAAGTACCATCTTTTCCTGAATATGTAGAAAATTCCAACTCAATATAACTGATATTAACATTTCCACATAAACAACATATAATAAGTTAGTTCTCTAATTCTGAGTACTAGAGTAATACATTAAGTTGCGTAGTTATGATACACAAATTTAAAATCAAATACAAAATAATAAATGATATAAGGAAATGGCAGATTTTTATTATGTTCAATATAACACAGAGTTTTATTGGTTTTGTAGGTGGGTCCAAAACCCTGGAATAATTTTTTTTATGCGATACAAATGAATAAAATTGTGAACAGTGTTTAAAACTTATCAATAAAATTAATACAACAAAAAAAAAAACTTACTTTTTGTACCAGTAATCCTTTTAATGACAGATGAAGGTGAAAATAAAGATGTAAACTGGCGTGAAGGAGATTGGCTCGAGGATTTTGATTTCTTTGACTTAGACTGAAGGGTACTAAATTTCATGTCAGATGATAGAGTTTGAAAAATATTATTAGTGCTTTTTGAAAGAGTACTAGAGGGAGGAGGGAACTTTTTAATGGATCTTTTAAGGGACTTAAAATTTGGAACATCAACAATATCTGAAGAAGGGGACGGAGTATGCAGCAAACTATCATCACATGATTTGTAAGAAAAGTAACCAATATCATGATTACGGGAAGTTTTGACTGATTGCGAACGTTCTGCTTCTTTTCTTAGTTTAGACAATGTTTCGTTAGACGAATACAGTGCTAGATCATCGGAAACAACAAGCAAATCATCAGAATCATTTTCGCAGTGGCTGTCAGAGGACATTTTTCTTTCTGCTACAGTTGGCACATTATCATCAAGTTCAATGTCAACGACAGAAAACTTTAGATCATTTTCTTTACAATGCATTTTACCGTCAGAAAACTTGGTTTTATTATTTTGATGCAGTAATGTCGAAGAATCTGGTGTTTTAGAAGACTCTTTGTCTAATGTTTCAGCTGAATTAAGTAGTGAATCATCAGACTTTTCCATATTGTTTGAATTAGAGGATGGCTGAATCATAGATGAATCACCTTCCATCATCTCTTCAGTAATAGTTACATTTCGGGATAACTTCATAGATTCATCTTCTAAATGTATGTTTTCATTACTATCTGTAGATGATATGCCTTCATCGGAAGATTCAATCTTGGGTATTATAACTTCATCCCCATTTATTCCCGTTAAAATATTTGAATTAGTAATGCTAACATTAAAAGCTTCATTTAATTCTTCAGACAGCGGTTGCTCATCGAGTACGAGATCTTTTTCTTCGGAATCATTACCACTTGCAACTTTCTCAATATCTTGAACGTTGGCATCATTAACAGTAACTGTATGCATCAATGTTACAATTTGATTTTTAATGTATAACCTAGCCTCTGCATTCGGATCATAAGTTCTACTTTTCGCTAAAGCTATGTTGTCTTTTTGCAGGGATTGTATCAATCTCTTCCATATTCCTAATGTTTCATCTGAAATATTAAAAGCGTTTAAATCACAGTCCGTTTGAACCTTAAAAGGCCTCAACATATCAACAAGTGGACATTTAGCATTACGATTTTTTGAATCAACACAATCATCATCATCAGTCATACAATCAATGGACTCGATTGTATCACTTCCGTAGTCACTGTTGTTACTGTCGACTAGACTGCTGTTACAGCTGTTATGTTCTAAAGCGCTCGGGGATATAGTATTAAGAAGCCTTTCAATTTCAGTTTCCAGCATCTGCCAGGCAGATGTATAATCAGTTTCAATGCTGTCTTTCAAAGAATCAGCAGAAAAATGAGAAACCAGTTTTTGAATTATTGATTGAATATCGGCAGCTATTTGTTGTTTATTGGATATGTGTTTCAAATTAATGGCTTCATCTTTTGTAATATCATCTGGTAATAAATCAGTACTATTGCTTTGAGGAAAATCACAGTTAGCATTATTATCACTAAATGATACATTTTCATAAGTGTGAATCGTTTTATTTAACTTCGATGCATCGGCACCGATGCTTTCCTCTTCATCATCATCTAATATTCTGTCGGATTCTAAATTCAAATTTCTAATTATTGGGGCAGATCTAGATTTAAGTTGTATACAAGGGGAAATATCAAAAGTTCCATTATGTTTATCACAGACTGAAGGAAAAGTTTCGTTTGTTTTTGTATCAGTTTCGACTTTGGTAGAGCTTGGCAAATTAATCGAAACTGGTACTTCCTCGTTTTCGGGAGATTCGGTATCATCAGATTTAGGCGGTAGATGGTTAGATTCTAAGGAATTTAATAAGGCAGATCGACTTATTTTTTGATGTACACTGTCCTCTTCAAAGTCACTGACAGGTGGATCCTCGGGATATTCAGCATCATCAGGATAATAATAGTTGTCATCATCAACTAACCCAGAGGTGAAGTATTTCTCTAAGCGAGAAGATACAAGATGGGTAGGATCCACTTCCTTAGGAGTATCACCGGCTGTACCTTCAGAGAGAGAATCACTATAGATAGTACTTTCATCATCCTCTTTTTTCCTGAGATTTAATTCAGTATCATTGATGATGTCCCAGCTAAAATATCTTTCAAGTTTGGATGTCTCGGTGTTGTTGGTAGGGGTTGCTGTCCGAGAATCTCTCTCGCTTTCTTCACAGCTCTCTTCAATTATGGTATGAAGAGCATAAGCTGGAAGGTAATTCGTATTAGATAATGCTGGATGTCCCCGCATTTCTTCGTCAGAAGACACATCACTTAAAACAGCATCTTCGTCATCAAAACTGATGTCATTCATATCACAGTCATATGTGGAAGAAAAAAAACGTTGATCACCATTAAACAAATCCGAAGTTTCGAATGACATTGATTTAGAATTTTCAAATGATGTAAAATAACTTTCTAAGTTCGATTTATCAGAAACAGCCTGGTCCCTTATTTTAGAAAGTTCACTTCGTGATGCTGCAATAAGATCTTGCAATTCAGAAGAAGAATTGGATACTGAATATCCGTTCTCAACATGATTATCGTCTGATGGTCTCCAAAATTCATTATCATTTGCACTATTACCAATATCAACATTGTCCCACAATGAACCTTTTGTTACTTTTCTACAAAATGGAATGTCAGACAGTGAATCGGAAGAATTATGAACGTTGGAATTAATATGAGTACTGTTATTTTCACTTACTTGATCGTTTGATGATGAAGATACATTATTTATGACAGTTTTACATTCAGAAGATTTTTCCTGGGAAGAATAAACACTATTTGGGCTTTCATTTGACATAATTTCTGACTGTGACGAAATAGTAGATGTTTTGCGTTCCACGAATTTTCGGAAGGAATTATCGTCTGCTCGCGTTTTTGTTGATGTTTCCGGCGAATCAAAAAATTTCTTTAGTTTTGAAATGTTTTTCCCTTCAGTTCTCACAACGCGATTGACAGAACGAATCTCATCTCCTAGAGTTGCCATATTCCACTGCAAAACAGAGTAACGGGAGTTTTCGCCGTTACGTAAATCAAAGCAATCGTTCGCAATTAGCAGCGTAAAGGCTGCAGGTAGCACATAATCCTCATGGTTGTAATCCAACACAAAGCAATCGATTACGGCATAATCCAGTATTGGATGTAATCCTTTAAAGAAAGTGGTATCACATTTTAGTCTTTTAATCCAATCTGTTCGATTTCTTCGACACGTACCATCTGCTACGTTTGAAACACACAGTACAGTGCATTCGTTCTCCGCTGAATGATTTTCGCGCTTCGCCACCCGTTGCACAGCTGGCACAGTTATCTGAAGCACGGATCCAGGTGGAAGGCGTGTCTCACTTTGATCGCCAACGAGCGCGTACTGCGACTCGGGTGGAAGAAAACATTCCACGAATGTTGCTCCACCAGTTTGTGACGTAACACAGCGGTGGCTATGACGTCGTGAAGCACAGAATCCACTTTCTGAATTTCTGCCCACCTCGTTTTTCATTTCTCCCTTCAAAATTTCATTTTCACCGCTAAGGTTAACCTTTTCATTCAGGAAGTTTCGGTTTCGAAACGCCCTGTGGTTTGAAAACACAATTAAAATTTGTGGGTTTGTATATACGGAAAAATCTTCTTTTAATTGGCGGAAAGAATTTATTTGAGCTTTGTTTTGTGAATTATTCATGAAAATCGAATAATTTATTACTTGAGGATGATTAAAATTTTTATAAGAGAACTTAAGTATGTCATTGAGACTAACGTTTCTTTCATTTAGAAGTTTCTCGTGCTCAGATATTAATGAAATTTTAGGAAAATCTGTGATAGGGTTACTAATTTTGTTAAAAATATTATTGGTAGTATTTAATAAAAAAGAGGAGTAAATGATGTTTTTAACATCGTTAGAAAGAACTTTAGATATTTCTTGATCTTTAATTTCATTCGGTTTTTTCCATTTTTTTTCAGTGTTTGTTCTGGAATTAAATTTTAGATTTGATTTTTTTACATAATTGTAAAACGCACCCGATGAAAAAAGGTTTACTTCCAGATTAATGCTGCTTTCGGGATAGCTGGGAAAATTTATTATTTTCATAAAATCATCTTCGTTAGTCTGTTGAGAATGTGACGGGTTATCTAAATATAATTTCTTTTCTGACGATTTTTCAATGAGTGTTTGATCAATTAAATCAACAACCAGTTGTTTAATTTCGGAATTTTCCATTTCTTCATTTGTGATAAAAGTTTTAGTAAACAACTTACCATAAGTAATAGCATATATTTCAGAAAAAGGAGTAACCAAAGGCTCATAATAATAAATTTCTTCTATTTTACTAGATATCGAATTATATTTTATTGATTCTCCAATGCACATGACATTTTTTTTCTTGCAGAATAAGCAAGTTTTGTTCTTTCTAATAATATCTGAAAATTCAAGTTTTTCATCTTCGAAAGAACGATTTCGTTTAAAAATAATGGGTTTTTTAAATAAAGATATTTCTTTAAGCATGAAATTGACACTCAGATTATAAGTAGGGGCCTTCTCTCCGGTTATAATTTCTGAAAAATTTAATCTTGTATTTTCGATATTGCAGGCTAGTTTTACATTTGGAAAATCGTTGAGGACAATGTCGTTAATATTCGTTTGCTCATTTTCTAGTTTTGTTTTTTCATCCAAAATTGTAAAGGAATCATTTTCCTGACCTAAAACAGTTTCCGATGTGTTTTCCGAGTCAACGGTTTCTGGTGTCAAAAAGAAATAAAATTCATCTTCCTCCGATGAATTCTCTTTATTTTCAGAGGAACTGAACGATAAATTCCAGTCATCCTCATCACTCAATTCATATTTCTTATTTCGTTTAATGTCTAAAGTTTCCAAGCCGGAGGCCTTATTGCCATTTTTTGCATCTAAAGTTCCAGTCCCAAATGCACTTATGGCGTCTTCCATATAATCCAAGTTAGATTCTAAGGATGTTTCTAAACTGCTTACATAAGCTATTCTATAGTCATCTGGTACGATTTTCCCCATATCGAGACTGCAAAGACTTTGGACTTCGAATTCATAGGCACAAGGAAAATAAAGATCTTCAAAATGATTCGCTAAATCCTTTTCTAACTTTTGGACTCTACTTTGAACAAAGCCCACCCTCCAGAAATCATTATCTTCAAAGTCCATGAATGGTAACAGAGCTGGAAGCGAGAAGCTTCTTCGTTTCATGCCAGTTGGTAATTCTTCGTAATTTTGATCGTTTTCAGGATAAAATTTTATATTTCTCCTGCGATTAAAAATTCTAGTTCCTCTCACGGAAAATCGTCGAATTAGGAAATTATTACCCTGAAATTCTATTTCAGACAAAATGGCGTTGTCTATCTCATGTTGCCATCTTGTGTTTCTGAATTTTCGTAATGCATCACCTTTATTATAGACTTCAATTTGAGAAGCAGATTCTTCGGAATCAGTGATAGTCGGAATTGTTTCCGATCGATTAATTTTTGATCGTATCGATGATGGTTTCGGAGGAGCGCTTCTGGATCGAAGATCAGGCTCATTATCGGAATCTAGCTCTTCATCACAGAAAAGAGAATTCTGAGACATATGTGTAATTATGCGAATTTTTCTTCTTGTTTGTTTCAAAATGGAACTTGTGTATTTCAGACTATTGCCTTGTGATCTTAGTTTCCGACTTAATGTTTTTTCTTCCTGCTCCAGTAGCCTCCATCGTTGTAAGGACTCAGTATTAAAGGTTTCCACATGTGGATGCAAATGACTTTTAAATCGTTTGGAATGATTTTCCGATTCATATTCTAGAGCTTTGTTACTACTTCTAGAATATAAGCTCTGAAAATTTTCCTCTGAGAAAGAACGCACTCTTCCGTTCATGGAACCATTTTTAGAGCCTGAATCCAATACTCCATGAGAAGCTGCAATAGAACAAACAAAATTTAAATATAAAATAACAAATAATGTATAACAATAAATAACAATAAATTAATCTTATTCTATTGTTGTATACATAACAAGCGAATAATTTTAATTCAATAACGACTAAGATTAAACATCATCTTAATGTATTTATTGCTAAATAAATTTATTTGTGAAAATATTATATCAATAGAACCTATCTCATGATCTGGTGCTGAGACTGTACGATGTATCTCATATTATTGAGGGCTGTCAACTTTCTACGCTTTCTGGAAAAAATTACGTGGTAGCTAAGTTTTTGTTTTAATGTATGATTCATAGTTTTGTAAATATTATTTAAAGCTATTTTTCACACCACTACATGTAAACAATTCAAAAGTTCATATCAAATACCACTTTGATCCTACTGTCTGAGAGGGAAACTTTTAAAATAGCAGCAAAATTGCCAAATATTCTGGAAATTCCTTTTTTAATTGCCTACTGCATATCTGCCAACTTTTACGCATATGGCGTAAAATTTTATTTCTGTATTTAAAATTGTAGTAGAATGTATGCTTTCTGTATATTCCTTGCATTTATAAACTTAATTTATAATCCTTTTGATCCACCACTATTTTTTTAAAAAATAAGCATATATATTAATATGTTTCTGCCTAAAATTGTTATTTAAATTCCATTTACTACCACTAGGGAAATTCATCTCGAAGGGATTAAAAGTTGGCAGGTATGCTACTGCTCTATAAAACATTTTACCAAAGAGCGTAGTAGTTGGCAGCCCTGATAATGAACAGTTTGGAGGAAAAAAAGCAAAAAATAAACTACACAAACTAAATTTGAAGTTGTCGTCTCATGTATGATATCATTTATGCGCGACTACTATGTAAAAAAGTGTGCTACAAAGTGAAAGTATGTATCTATTTAAATTGAGTAGATATTTCCTTTAGTAACCTACCACCTTTTCTTCGAAAACGTGCTGTCCCCCCCCCTCCTTGACTTAATCTAAATTTAAATCATTTTCTAAAGATTTAATCCCGCTCACTCCCACAGCATACAGTTGTTGGCTAAAGGGATAACATAGGTCAAAGCTCTGCAGTTTCATGATCCACCGCCTTATGGGTCAGCATTGCTCGCCAGCCACCATTACTTTCTAGGCAGATTGGTGTTTCTATTGCTTACCTCTTTAGTTTGATATGCACTGACAAATTAAAGTTGTAGTTTCTTGAGATTCAAACAAGAATATTTATACTAATGATATACCATAGTATAATAAAGAGAACAACCGGTTTCTTTATTCAAATATATACTTATATGCAATATTTAATGCAAATATTTTTACCACTTGTCTTTTCTAAAAGCATACCATTTTTTAAAAAAAATATTTAGTATCATGTAAAAAAAAAGTTGTCTGTATATGAAAAATACTCATATTAATATAAATAGTTATACATATTCGATAATTCTAAGTGACTATTTCCTTATAGTATTGAGTATAGTAAAGTGCGGCGTGCTCTCTGCTTTCGCTTATAGCACTGCGTTTCAATAAATAAGGCTTAATTTAGCCTATCAAGATTTATATGAGCTCTGAGGCTCTTCTTCAAATTCAACATGTTTCCACCGAGTCCAACAGGGAACTCTATTTCTTTATATTTCCTATCACAATTTCAAAGAAAAGCTTTAAAAAAGTCAGGGTTTTCACAGTTGAAAGTTATAGAAAAATACAATTTAAGTTTGACATTTTAATAAATAAGGTTGAATCTTTACCGCATTGAGAGAAGGAAAAAAAAATTGCTAATACATTTAAATTGAGTTGGGTTAACAAAATTAATGTTTCAAAAAAGTAAAATGAAATATTTGACCTAGTTTGAATAATCGAATGCAAGTTTTATTGGGTAAAGGTCCAGAATACAAAAAATATATATAATTGCATCTTCTTTCAAAGAATTGACTGTACAACTATGCTAATAATTTAAGAACTCATTTATTGGCAGAAAGCTTTAATTAGATCAACGATATATTTTCTTTTTGTAAAAAATCTTTTGATTTTTTTGTTTGTAGAATATTATTTTAAAGACCAAATTAGAAAAAAAAATATTAAAGATGAAAGTTGTGTATTAGTGTTCATGTGCGTATAAAAAATACTAATTCAATTTTGATACCAACGTCTGTAGAATTGCTCACAATCGGCCAAAGACGCAATTAAAATTATTTCGCTGAAAATGATAAAAAATTTTTTATACATTACTATTCAAAATTTTTTTGATCATTATTAAGTTAAATAACAAAAATTTATTTACGATGACTATTAAATTTGCTTAATTTTCTTAAAGGAATTATTTTAAAAACGAGTTTCATTATAGTGCTAACGAATTTTCTACGGTTATCCTGACCAAACTATTGGAACCGTTTTTCTTGATCGATTGAGATCGTGAACTCCCCTTTCACGTCCAGAAAAATTTAAAAAGTAGGGATAATTCATTGGAAATTCTAAAAGTTTTAATTTCACTATAATTTTAAGCTTGAACACAACTATTTAATTTACAAATATTCTTTGTAATGTAAGAATATACTTAAACATTGCGTTTCCTCGATTTTTTTTCTATCAGTTTTTAAAATATTATAGGCTATAGCCGTTCTTAATTTTGAGGTTAAAATTTTACAGACAGTGGCCATCCTGTATTTTGAGGTTTAAATTTACAGATTGTTGCCCTCGTGTATTTTGAGATCGAAATTTTACAGACCCTGGCCATTCTGTATCCTGAAGTTAAGTTAAAAAACATCTAAATCCGGAGACCAAAAAATTGGCAAAATACGTCGTTAACACGATACACACACGCACCCACCCACACACACACAGATATATATATATATATATATATACCTGGTTTTATCCTTCCTCTTGGCATACCAAAGGTCAAAATTCCTGATAGTTTTCTATTGATGGATCAAAATGATCTTGATGGTAATCATCAATAATTCTATCATGATCCATTATATTTTTGATAGTAACCAACATAAGTAAACATCATTTCAATGTAGGAATTTGGACTCATTTATGATGGTCCATAAAAGAACAGCAACTTGTTTTAAAAGTTTGCTCTTGCTGATCCATCGAAAATGTCCATCATAGATTCTTAAAAATCAAATGCTGTAACGATCATGAGCAACCATCACCCCAATGTAGGAATTTGAACTGATTTATGATGGTCCAATATAAAAAA